TCAGCCTCGTACGTTCAACAGAGCCCAGGTAATACCACAGAGGAAATATGTGGTCCGGGCCAGGTGGTAAAAAAAGTTCAAGGGAGAAGTCAAGAAGAAGGCATTATTCTACAAGATGGGACTTTTTGTGCTGAAGTAAGGCTGCACAGGTGTTTTGTCTGCACAAGAGATGATGAAGTTATAAGAGAGGAATATATTACAGTACAGTATAATAAAGGCAAGGGATTCTGAAACATGATAGGTAAAGCTCCACTGTGAAAAATTTTAGCCAAACAAAAGACTAAAATAAAAGTATATAATTTTTTCCATTTTGTATTAACGACACTGAAAAATTTAAAAATAATTTTCTTTTGGCTATTGAAGTTCCACAGTATTAACCAAGCTCAATTTCATTTCTCTCCAGTGACTAGGTCAGGAATCGGAATACACTAGATGGTTTTTAAGAACCCCGGAAGTTGTAGACCACACACCGACCAATCAGCGAAGAGCTGTGAAGCCATGACAACAAAATCAAGCGCCTGTCTGAGTCCCTTTTGTGGTACAACAACAGTAAACAAAGCCGTTGAGATGGATGTAGATGAAGCCATACATTCTCACTTGGCAACGATGCCCGAGATCGAGGATTTAAAGCCGGAACAAAGAGGATGTTTGGTGAATTTTATTAAGGGGAGAAACATTATTGCCCTTCTTCCTGTGGGATTTGGAGCATTGCATACGTCACACCCAAATAGCAGCGAATGGTTAAATAAAAAAATTACCCGCCTATCGTCAAGCGAACAAATCCTAATGCTGTGAGGTCACACGATTTCCACGAAGTGAAACTGGCTGATGAATCAGGCTACCGCAGTATGGCACAGAAAGTAAAATCCACGTGGAGAATGTACAGAAGTATGGTCTGTACTTTCTATTTTATGGAGGTGAAGTGTCACCTGTGCTTTAATTACAGTTATCATGAAATGTTCACGTGAATGTCCACTTGCCCTGTATTGTTATTCTGGGCATGACAAGTACCACTAGTTTAATAAATACTACAGTAAATCTATACCTAAACCTGGATTGAATCATGAATACATTACAAGAATGTTTTAAAATGACTTAAAATAAAACCTGACTCCTATGACACCACATTATCATAATTCTGAACTGGAATATTCATCAATATGCCAACCTACTTTTTACTAAAACTTCAATCTGTAATCATACATTTTAAAATAAGCATAATTTTCCTGCAGAAATTGAGGTTAACTGACATATTCAAACCACTAAATAAACCATAAAAGGATTGATATACGTAATACATTTTGATCTCCTCTCAGTTATATCTTTTGAAAAGTGAACCTTGTACGATAAATGAGTCCAGTCTTTGCATGAGATTTAACCTTCGTTTGGACAGCACAGAGAGCAGAGGCGCCTCAAGAAATGCCAGTATCTGATCCGAATCCATACAACTTCTCCTGTGATTCAATTTGAAGACGCATGGCTAGACTTCCATTAAAACTGCACCTCGGAGAGAACGCCGATCAATGTCAACTTGGAATTGGATTGTTTTTCGTTGAAGATTTACAACTTCAGAATGGAAGCTGCAACATAAAAATCAAAGCCAGAATCGAACTTACATTTTATACATTTTATAATTAACCATGGCAACAATATCTGCGCTTTTTAGCACCCCAGCCTCACAGCAAGAAGATCCCAGGGCAGTTTTCCGAATGGGGCAGTGGGGTTTTTCAGTGTAGTCTGGGTGATATAACAAAAAATGGATTAAAATTTTTTCACTCTGCATTAATCGATCACAATTTCAGATTACATTTTATTGTTCTTAAATTTATTAACTTAACTTTTAATCATTTCCATTTACAAGGGATGGTCCGAAATTTTTTGAGCAGATACCAATATCCAATATTTATCTTGGTATTGTAGCTGATAACCGATATTTGATGACATTGCCAATATTAAGCTTTTAAAATCTATATTAGAGAGCAAATTATGTTTAAGTTATAGTGAAGTTTACAAATTACCTTATCACTTTTGTAAAAATAAAATATAGTTAGATGGGATATAAATTAATTTTGTCTGCTCAAAAAGAGAAATCTGATGCACTGAAGACAAACTGGGTGACACAAGGGCACACCAAGAAAAAAAATCAATGCCAAATATCTGCAAAATTTTCAATACTGGACCAATACCGATATCTGAGGAAATCCTCTGATATCACCGATATTACCGATATACATGCCATCCATTTATCAAAAAAAGTACAAACATAAAAGCGCAATACTTAAGTACAATTTTTAGGTGTCTGTACTTCCTACTCCACTACCTTTTAGGTCTGGATTTAAAAGTAAAAAGTATTTTTTGGTATGGTTTGAGACTTACTTTTAGCACATTAATCTGAGTTAACATTCCAATTTTGAGCAAAGCAAATAAACAAATTTCATTTTATTTAATGATAAAAAGAAAAAAGACAACATAACATTAGAAATAGATGGGATACAGATTCAAAGAGTAAATGAAACCAAATTTTTAGGAGTTATTTATGATTGATGAAGGTCTAAACTGGAGATCTCATATAAATTACACAAAAGGCAAAATTTCCAAAGCCATTGCTGTTCTGCATAAAATAAAGTTCTCACTAAATAGTACAGCATTATTAACTTTGTTTAACTCTATAATTGTACCATATCTGATGTACTGTGTGGAAATTTGGGGTTCAACATGTAAAACTTATCTACAACCTTTATTTATTTTGCAAAAAAGGGCCTTGAGAATCATCACCAACAGTCATTGTAGAGAGCCATCCAACCCAATATTTGTTCAACTTAAAGTGTTGAAAATGCAGGATATTGTTGACTTAAGTATCCTCAAAGTCATGTATAAAGCAAAGTGCAATGTATTACCTGTAAATATTCAAAAACTGTTTGAGATGAGAACAAGCCACTACAATTTAAAAGGAACCTACATGTTTTAAAAAAAACAGATTCAGAACCAAGGTTATGGAGCGAAGTGTCGCTGTGAAAGGAGTTAACTTATGGAATAGTCTTGACAAAGAAATAAAAGAATCAAGAACAATGATGATATTTAAAAAACATATAAAATCGAATGCACTGTGTCTGTATGAAAAAGAAAACTAAGTTGTGTATAATAATGAAGATTTTCTGTTTGCAATTGATCAGTAATTGTGCCTGAACTAATATGGAATGTTAATGACGATCGGTGTTGATGTCTTGTCTTGAAAAAGGAAAGGGGGGCAGATAACATAAGATTTTTTCTTCTTTCTGCTCCTTTTCATTCATTTCTTGTGTGTTTGATGTTGTGACACTGTCGATGTCTTTTTATGCTTTATGAATGAAATAAATAAATAAAAAAAATAAAAATAAATAAATACAAAAATAAATACAAAAACAGCTAGAACATTGAATTAAATTAAATCACTTCAAAATCACTACATTTGATGCTTTAATCTTCTAAAAATCTCTTAAAGTACATTTTTAAACAGAAACGTGTTATTTTCCATGTGATTCTTTTACTTCTACTGAAATAACTTTTTACCTTTCTATATATCTATCTGTATACTTTTATTTAAGTAAGAAAACTGAGAATTTTATCTGACACTGCCTAAAACAAATGATCTTTTTTTTCCCTCTAAACTCTGCTCCAGACCACATGCTTTTACTGACAGAGGACTGGCTGCAGACCTTGATTAAAAAGACCCCAGTTTATCATTGACGATTAGAAATGCGATATGGGTATTGCGTTCGCTAATTTCCAATAACAACAATTTCCAAATAGTACTGTGCTCCCTAAATTGCTGTGCTCTTTTAAGGTTAGCCTGTCTTGATGGCGTAAGTGCTGGAATAAGAGGATGACATTGCAGAGAGGACATTTTAAGCCTTTAATTTCTTCATGTTTAAAGGAAGTCATAGAAAACTTAAGCAAAGGACATAGACGCTATTATCTGGTCTGCTCAGCTGGGACTTACGCAAGAATAACATGGCGCCGATGTGTGTGTGGCTTTTGGGAGTGGACTATATTAAAGAAGCTTAACCCGAAGACTAATACAAATATTTGAATAGAGAATCGCATAGGTTTAATACGGCGAGTCACTGCAAAACAAGAGAGGCATTTGAGGAAAACTCCCCGAGGAACTAGCCGCTGCTAAATTATCCGCATTGTCCCTCCTCTCCAGTTTTTTTCCAACAAGCAGACGTCGCTCCTCTGGGTTTAAAAACTCATTTTCATCCCTCTTGTAAGCTCTCTGTTTTAACATATTTGCTTTATATCCTATTATGAGGCCTTTGTGATAGGAATAAGGTTTGCAAATTGGAAAGTATCCGCAGGCAAATTTGAAAAAAAAAAAAAAAGTTGTACATGGAAGTAATCTTTAGAATCTAATCTCTGGGGAAAGACAAATAATAGTGGGGCTGCCTCGTGGACTGTATAAGAGAAGTATATTATTCAATTACTTTTTTGAGCTTTTAACATTGTTGTAACAATTTTCCCTCATTTAAAACATATCTAAAGTTGTATTTAGCTTGTTTGAATTTTGTTTGATCAAACTAGTAAAATCCACTCCTTCTAAAAACTCAAAAAGCATGCAATTTTATTTTTTTTTTTCTTTAAATTTCCCATGATTGTTACGTTACAGGTAGAAGTTTGGAGTTTGTCTGTGCTGTTATGGCCACGAATCATTACCAGATTTTAAATTTCTTCCATGAAATCATGTTCATTACAACTGCGTGCCAAGTTGTTTTGTTTTTTTTGTTTGTTTTTTTTTGCCAAATGCAAAACAGTAGGTGGACTGCTAACATACGTTACAAGTACAGGAGAAACATCAGTAGGAATTGGATGTCTATTGTCTGTATGGGTATTATTTTAAGTTCTTAAACATAAGAAGTCAAAGCAAAGGCCTCAATAAGCATACCAACAATGCATAATAGTCAGAAAGTAAACAAAGAGAGCATATGCGATAGTAGAAATAAGGAGTTATAAAGAAGGATTACCTGTTGAGGTGGACGAGTTCAGTGATGTTCGGTTTTGGTGCACTGCGTCAGAGCTTTTCAGATGGAAATTGGGGGAAATGTCAGAATGCGGAGAAGGACTGTCATCACTGGAGCCGTCAGAATCTGAATCAGACCAGGATCTAAAAGAGTGGATCACCTGGGTCAAAGAAAAGACAAAATCATTTGTGAACGTTAAGTAATACTGTGACGAGATCAACTGGCCAAGTCCACTTAACGGTGCATAACTTTTCTGTCAGCTCACTCGTCTCCATGGATACACAGTGTATCTTTAGCTAAGTACTTTCTACTGTGCACAGGATGTCCATCTGATCTCTTAGCTCTTCTCATTTATTTCATATTTGTTCATCTGTACACATCGCAGTAACCATGTGTCGCATTTAAGTGCATTGAAGTCTCCTAGCACACAGGCTTTTATTGGCTTGTCATTTTATGATAATTTGGTACCCTATAAATTGAGTTTTGGACCAGAAACCCAAGACTAATTACTTATTCTAGAGATTTGCTGTCACCTTTCTGGGGTCATTTTGTTCTGCTAGCTTGTCTGATTAGTTTACCCCACACTACTGCACGGGTACTGATACTGCAAAGAATCTGGCAGGCAAACGTGTAAAAGGCACAGAGTAGAAAATACAGTCATTTCAGGTTAAATTCAGCTCTTCAGCTTCATCAATCATTAACTTGTCAAACGAAACCCAGCAGCTTATTTCTGAATGACAATTTCATGTGTAAAAAGCAAGTTAAGGTGTGTATTTAACTTCATTTTGTATTCTAACTGGAGGAAATGTCACTGATTAGTGACTTTGTAATTAACCCCTTAAGCTCTTGTGGGTATCTCCAAACATGTCGGTGAGTTAGCAGTGTTTGCAATGTCCTCCAGTGAGACGAGGAAGCTCTGTGTGGCTAAGATTAGATGGAACATATTAACATTCCCGCCATAGCTCTACAGGACGCAGCAGTGGCCTGGTAGTGAAAAGGAGGGAGGTGTGATCGAGGATGGCCGAGCATAACAATGGAACAGAGACAGAACAACAACAATGGCCCTTGAGTAACTGACCTGGATATGACCTGAGAGCTAATTGGTTGTGTCTACATTAGCGTTGTCACAGTACTAAAAGTCGATTTCGATACTAAAGAATAGACTCGATACTCAATACCAATGCCACTTCAATAATTAAAAACATTCTGGTCTTATTTTGACACAGCTCAAGATTATTTTAAGCAAAGATTAATTTAATTTCATGACTTTTTCAGTGTTGATAGTTAGTTAGTATCTGATATTTGATACTTTTGACACCCCTAATGTACATTTCCTTATTCCGAACAGTTATGTTGTTTTGATTTGCCATTTTGAAATCATATCAGATTTAAGACCTAAACTACTTTTTTTAACTACTGCACTAGTATAGTCACTACACTTGCATGTGAATCCACATGGCTGTACTTCAGATACTGTATGTTCTACAATGTTGGTGGTTCAATGTCAGCTTGGATCAATTCATTCTGCCGTTGTGTCCTTGGCTAAGGTATTTTACCCATCTTTCCTAGGAATGATTGTGGTGTTTGAGTGAGTGATTGGTAATGAGAGGTGCTGCTGGCGCAAATTGGTAATGGCAGTAGTAGCTTATCATGATAAAGTGTGGAGTGAATGAATAATTCAATATACAAAAGGTCTTTATAAACCAAACTCATAAAATTATTATAATTAAATGGGCAAAATGTATTTTTTATGTATGTTCTATTTTAAAGAAGGGTATATTTCTACCATGTTGTAACGTTGTTCCCTGAAGAACAAGCCTGAAGAAGGATTAGATGTCATCCATGCATGTTTGAGTAATCTTGTAGCACCAAATTCTAGGTCCTTGGTACAAATCATCTTGGTGAGCTCGCACTACATGTTGTCTGATGATGAAAAATGCACATTACAGTCTGTGTGAGGGGCCCCTCCTTGCAACGGGCTCTGGGTAAACAGTATCCTTTAGCCCCCCAGGCTAAAGCAGGGCATCGGCCCCTGCTTTCAATGCACAATCCTGTCCAAGGTCCAGACCACAAGGCTATGTCACCCATGCTCCTCCACAGAAATTCACTCTAAATAAACAAAAGCATGATACAAAACCACACTATACAACTTCATAATCCTAATGCAGCGAGTGTGCAGTAGTGGATTAGCAATTGTGTTGTGATAATAGTCACAGCAAATGGAGGACAGACTCAGTTGGACTCAAAAACTAAACTTATTAAACATATTTTTACGGCAATATGTCATTTTCAAAACAATGTTATGTGTTCGCAATTAACACACCATAGAAGTGTAATACCCGCTCTCTAAAAGCCACAAGCCCAAATACAATCCAAGCCATTCTGATTGACTGATGCTCTAATATAATTTCATTGTTACTTGTGACAATGGCAATAAATTGTAGAATTTTAAATCTACGTGCTTCCTCAAAGGTTGAACTCCTTTACTGATGCTTCGTGACTGGCATTTATTTACATTATATCCCAGGTACAATAATCTTTCTCTGTTAACAAAACAATAAATACTTTGCAAGAGCTAAAAAGGAGCAATAAAAATACCAAGTAAGTGAATATAGAAATGGACAAAGCTGGGTAATGACTTGCTAATCTTAACCGCCATCTGTAAAATCACGTATCTTATTTTAGCCTGGGTTTTTAATAAAGTACAAGGGTGCCCTGGCTTCTCTATTCTTACATAAAGGATTCGTACCATTAAACGGCTGATAGGTCATTGGGGACTGTCCGTGCATTGTCTCTGTAATCCTCTCTCTTCCTCTCACTGTGGCGTGCACCTTTAACGCCAGACCTGTAGGTATCTCTCTGCTACAGATGAATAATGTAAAGTAATTAGAGAGCTACAAGACTTTTCTGATATTGCTGGTATGCTACAATAAGAACGGGATTTTTGTCTGCACAGTGTCTGGGAAGGGTAATGACTTCAGAACCTGTACTCTGAGCATTAATCAGCCCTAGGAGAAGTCAAACCAATAATTTAATACAGCTACCATACAAAATGTACCTTTGCCCATGTAAATTGCAAACTTAGTGTTCGGTCCCTCGCCTGGCATCCATAATTCTCACTTCTTCAATACTTTACGAAGGTCGGAGTCTAGACACTGTTGAATCTCCCTGAGTTCAAATGAGCATGACTGACAGGTGGATTAGCCCATTGTTTCCCAAAGACTCAGGTGGGTCGCAAGAGATTTTTTTGGGGATCGCCTTGTCAAGATCTGCATGTACATCATGTTGCACTCTTCTCCTGCACCCCAGACTGGAACGTGCTACAAAGACGCAGACAGGCCCACTTATCTCATTAAAAATGATGAAATGTTAACATGTGTTTTGTATCATTTCTAATCCTTTTGTAATTATTTTATTGACTGTTTTGTTCCAATATTGCTGGTTCAATTGAATGTTGAAAACAAAAAGAAATGGGCTACATTTTATGTCAAAATAGGCGACTTATGGATATTTTTTATTGCTGAATCAATGACTGCTTTTCATTGTTTAAAACCTGAGTAATACTAATGGTTCAGGGACACACGATCACTCAGTCAACAAGAAAATATCCTCATTAATTTCAATAAAGGTCAAATCCACCTTTATTTAGAGATTTACGAATAATTTCTATTGACCTGTTTCGCAAAGGTTTGTGACGAAAATATGGGTCCCCAGAAAAAAGGTTTGAGAAACACTGAATTAGTCAATCAGGGAAATGCAAGATCTGTCTGTATCAAAACAAATATGGCTGCTTATGAGGAAAAAATAAATATCACATGGGATTGACATGGGGTTTCACTTCTGTCACTGAAGTAGAAGTAAAGTAGAGTGAACCAAAAGTAAAGTAGAGCTCTGAATAAAAAATACTGGGAGATATCATTCTGAATTCGCCAGGTAACTTGGTCCCGGCTACCAACAATGAAAACTGTGATTGTGTCCTTAGGCAAGACATTTCTTCAAACTTGTTGAAATGGAATTGTGCTCATCTTTCGGTGGAACAAACCAAACAAAAAACTTATTACAATCAGCACCTGCAGCAGTTAAGTACTATCAGTAATATTAGTTGACATGTTACTAAATAATACTGGATTTATTTTATATAGCGCTTCTTTGAAAACTGAAACGCCCTTTGTGTTAAATTATGCATTAACTCTACACCTGGTAGTGATGAACTATTGTAGCCAAAGCTGCCCTGGGGTAGACTGATGGAAGTGAGGCTGCCAACCTGCGCCATCGCCCCCTTTGACCACCACCAATAACTCTGTGTAGCTTCAAAGATCAGAAGAGTTGGTATTTCTTACAATAGGGAATTATTTAGACACTGCCATATTTATTCTTAACATCAAATCAAACATAGTATCATATCCAAAACTATGAATCACAAAAAGTAAGAATGCTGTGTTTGTGAAAGCCCAGAGTTAAGAAATAGCTGCCATTTTCTCAAACCTAAAGTGAAAGTGGAGTGGAAATGTAGAAGAATGTTACCCGCGCTGGTCTTGACAGCTGCTGGGCCTGATCAGCGGACAAATCCCTCTCTCCCTCTTCATGTGCGCGGGGACCAAAGGCACTGTGGTGGTGTAAATGTGCACTGGCAGGACTCCCTCTGTCATCTGTGGACCTGCGGCGCTCCACACGGCCCTGGGCTCCGAGCTCTTCATCATCTGCAGAGTCTTCCTCACACAGGGTCAAGTCCAGGCTGTCGCTGGACATCTCATCTTCACTGTCTGCAAACAACAGTTCAGATTCATTTTAATGTAATAATAAAGACTGTTTTAATGCAGTTCTTTTTTTTTTGTGTCAATTTCGTTTCTATGCACTATCCCAGGGACTTCACAATTTTAACTTTACAGGGTCTGTAAGGACACAGACAAAACACACACACAAAGCGGTAAAGGCCGTTTCCCGTTTCCATGATTTAAGTCTTAAACTGCAATGCCGGACTTTTGCACCGCATACAGACTGAACCAGGACTAAACCAGGACTAAACCAGGACTGAGATCAGGACTGAGATCAGGACTGAGATCAGGACTTTGACCGGGACCAGACCAGAACTGAGACCGGGACTGAGACCGGGACCAGACCAGAACAAAATCTGGACTGAGAACAGGACTTAGACTGGGACCAGAACTGAGACCGGGACTGAGACCAGAACTTAGATTGGGACCAGACCAGAGCTGAAACTGGGACTGATACCGGGACCAGACCGGAACATAATCTGGACTGAGACCAGGACTGAGACTGGGACCAGACTGGGACTGAGCCCAGGACCAGACCAAGGCCCGACCAAGACCAGACCGGGACTGAGACCAGGACTGAGATCGGGACTGAGATCGGTTTAGTCCTGGTTTAGTCCTGATTTAGTCCTGGTTTAGACCTGTTTTAGACCTGTTTTAGGCCTGGTATAGGCCTGGTTGAGTCCTGGTTCAGTCCGTATGTGGCGCAAAAGTTCAGCATCTCATATTTTTGGTTTTATTTTGAAAAACAAATGAACGAATGATACATGGATTAGTAGATGACACCATCAGGCCAAGGTCCAGGTCAGATCTGCAGAGATGTGACTCAGCTTGTATGTGGCTCGGCTTTTTCAAAATGTTTTTTAACAATAAATATGTGTAATAGAATAAATAAAAAATAGCTAAGTTTAATGCCACAGTATGGAGATTCAGAGTCAAATCAATAACATCTTCCTGGAGACAAGCAGGTAGTGGACTGCCAAGAAAGTAGTGCATCTTCTGATTTGAATAAGTCCGGTGAAGGAGAGTGGATTTTAAAATTACAAATGCGAGGTTCCTGGGTTACCACCAAAAGTTGTTGTCAGAGCTGAAAACTTGAGTCTGAAAAATATAGGATCATTCAAACAATAACAAACAATATGTGTAATTATTGGTCTGTTTTTATTGCCTTCGTTTTGCTGTCATCTTCGGTATATAGCACAATATTGTATTTGATGTTGCTGTATGTGTGTGTGAAGTCTGTGCATCAATAGCTTACTGAAGAAGAGTGCTTTGCATATAAGCATTATTAAAATGTTTCTATTATATTTATGCAAACCTTGTCTTGACTTCAGGGCATTGCGGTACTCTTGGATCAGAGCGAACGTTGATTCTTTTGCATTACCTAAGATGAAAAGAAATGAGAATAAAACAATCAATATGTGTTTTATATTTCAAGAAAACAACTTTATATTAAATTAAACTCTAAATATGTCAACATAACAAAAGCAATTCTGGGCTCTGTAATCAAATTTAAACCTACGCAAAACAATTATTCGCAAGTATGAAAGTTGCTATTGATTCAGAATGTGTAGACAGAACACTGGGGAATCGGGCCATTCTTCACTCTGTAATTACCTCCCTGTCTGATGTAGCATAGTGTCAGGTATTTACTTAAAGCTCAAATCAATATAAAAAAATAAACATGGCCACGAAGCTTTTTATAGTGAGATTTAAATTAGCTGTGACAGGAGCCGTTAGCGATATCCACAAGCACTATTCTCCAATAAAAAGAGACCACAGCCATGATTAGCTGCCTGTATCGATTTGGACCCTTATTTAACACAGCAGTGATCGCTTAATAGCAGTCTTGCCCAAACTTTTTAGGGAAGATTTCTAACTCATTGCTCTTTAACTTTCATTCCCACACGTATCACTATGCAGGCCTTTTAAACCATGATTTAATTTCGCGATTGTTTCACGATTTTGTCTGCTATAGAGTTATAATGTATGACACCCGTGGATACACATTTTACATCGCACTATTTATCTAAGACTTACTACTTAATAAAAGAAATAGGTCAGCTGAGACCGATTGAAAACCGCAGCTGTTAGTTTCCAATTCTCATTTCCTGTGCATGTTTGATTAATCTTTAAACTCCTGTAAGACATCACTGCAACACCGCTATACGCCCAACGCTCTATACTCGCTCCATTCTCCAATTTTGTTTTCTTAGTCGGTGATACGCGTAGGATTGGGCAATCATTTTGGAACAAATGAAAAAGATCTTCTGCTTGCTAGCGTTATCTGCAGAATAGGAGGTCCCCACACAATTAGGCTTCAGGTAGGGCTCGAGTCTCATTTCTCTTTCCTCGCTTCCTTCTCCTTGATTCCTCTCCTCGATCCTCCACTTGTCAGCTGTCAATCAAACATGTCATATTAAGTGGTGTCCCAAAAACAACCACGGAATGAAGGTGTAAACATGAGGGAGGCTTCAGGAGGCAGACATCAGATAAAAGAATCAAACTTTATTGGTGTCAGTGAGGAGTGTATATCCTCTCACTTCTCGCTGTGTCTCCTCTGTGGGTGGGACTTCTTCACCCAGTTCCTGTAGAATCGAGGAGAGGAATCAAGGAGAAGGAAGCGAGGAAAGAGAAATGAGACCCATGGTGATCCGGCATTGAGTGAAAGAAAGGTTTTAAGTGTCAGCGGGCTCGTTTTATTTTCTGTACGAAATTGTTTTAGATCAATATTGTGATTTAAAATGCCCAAATTATAACACACTGATCCACCAATGTCATAGATTATAACCATATAGCAGGCATAAGCACGATGTCATTTTTAACAGCAATTAAATGAGTGTGTGTGTGTGTGTTTAATTCATTCAGCCAAAAATATTCCTTATTATTTCTTATTACAAAACTTGTCTTTCAACAGAACAGATATGTAAGTGAGGAATAACTTTGACGCAAACAGGTTCAGATAAACAAAAAAGATACAGTGCCTTTAACATCTTCAATGATTAACAGAATAAACTTCCATCATGTGATTAGAATCTGTGTATCATTTGTTCATTTGTTTTTCAAAATAAAACCATAAATTAGAAAATGAAAAAAAAAATATATATATATATGTTTTCTTCATTATTTCTCTCCAAAACCAAAATGAAAAAATGGATAACGATTCATTTTTTCAGTTTACGTGACTTAAACTGCGATGTCGATCTTTTGTACCACATACGAACTGAACCAGGGCTAAACCAGGACTAAACCAGGACTAAAACAGGTCTAAACCAGGACTAAAACAGGTCTAAACCAGGACTAAACCAGGACTGAACCAGGACTGAACCAGGACTGAACCAGGACTGAGTGTCGGGACGGGTTCGGAGATGTGCTCATGTAGACTTTTGGGTGATCAAGAGTGAGACCAGGACTTATTAAGGGTATCCCCTGGTTTGACTGCCCCAAATTTATGACTTTTGAAGACCTTTTTAAGACCACTTAAATGAAAATTAAGACCAACATCGCACCCATTATGCGGGAGTGAAAAACACCAGATCCAACTCTAATAATGACTAACCAACTACTACATCTAGAATCTTAAAGCACTGCGGATTAAACCTACACTTCCCCATGATCCATCCAGCGTCTTCCTCCACTCTACTGATGACACCAAAGAATACTCCAAATTAGATGTTCATTCACGTTATGTCATATCACGTTGTTTTCTTTTTCTTTTTCCTCCATTCGTTTAACAATGTAGTACAGCTTGTTGAGTATACAAAAAAACTGGCTAATGAAATTAAGACCTTTGTGAAAAAATAAGACTTGGACAACATAATATAAGACTTTTTTAAGGCTCTCACTCACCTGCTGACATAGCCCCATGTTTTCCTGTGAGGCCACTGGTGTTGTTGTCATCCGGGGACAGATCAGATAAGAAGTGTTGCTTGCGTTGTTTGGACATTGATTCGCAGCCAGTCACATCATGCTGCGATGTGAGACAAACTTCACTATCCCCTCGAGTATCATCACCAGATAAGCTTGATCTATTCATCGACAAATCCACGGACTTGCGCGGACAACTTCTTGATGACGTTTTGGATGGACTTGGAGAAATCGGACTCTCGTTATCCGATTGGACAGCGTCTTGATCTAATATTGAACGCTGACATAGCCTTGGAGATTCAACCCTACTTCCTGTTGAGTTGCGTGATGATATTTTAGGGAGTAGCGCCGATTCGACTGAGCTGGATGGCGTGAGGGTGAAAGTGGTTCTGAGCGCAGGGGAGATTTTCGGATAGAAATCGCACTCTTCGGATGTTAATGAGCGACCAGTGGAGGGAGAATCATTAGGACAAATTGAGCGGGGAGAGTGCGAGGGCTTGGGGGTTCTGTATAGCGGACCGGAAGAAGACAACAAAGGTGATAGCGGTGATTTGACTTGGGAGCGGGCGGGGGGCGTAGTGGATTTTGAGGCTGCGGTCTTAATTGAAGTGTGGTGGTCTCCTGGTGTGGTGGTGGTGGTGGTAGTGGATTCTGGTTTAGAGGAGAGTGCTGTGAAAAGAGCACAGGTAGAAAAAGGACATGAGATTCTCCTGAAGGCAATTATTCTCAGAGGAGTTGGTGTCTAAAAATAACTGGTGCTCTCAATGTGGTTGATTCGCAGTGAAAACTAATTAGAAGCAGCTTAGATACAACACGGTATTAACACTTTCTCTTGTTTGATAAACTTCTATTTAAAACATGAGTGGAGATAATTGGGTTTGAATATTCAAAGCAGGAGTTAAACAACAGCAAAGAATGTCATCTAATCCAGGTGCAGATAAACTTTTCTGTCTCACTGAGATAAACACTATCCATGGTTTTCTGAATGAATAAAAATGAGGGCAGTTAACAATTTATAGCTTTTAGAATGGGAAATAGTCTTCAAAATGTTGCATATTACAGGAAACTGAAACTCATGAATAGTCCATTGCACAAAACACACATTCAAAGGGAGGGGCTAAACTGAAAAATAAAGCTGGACTGGATCAAGACTACAGTGGGTTCAAGTCAGGACCAAACCAGGCAAGGGTATAGGTTTGCATAGGGATGATGGGGACATGTTACAGCCAATATTGTGAAGACAAAATAGTCCCTACCCACAGTTGCCATCTTATTTTAATGAACAAAAATATAAACTTATTCCGATATTAGTGGCAGGACAGGCCCAGCACCTGAAGACGGCGACTTGAGCAGGCGTGAGTGAAGACGCTGCGCACCAAACTTTGAAAAACATTTCAAAAGTAACTTACTTGGCTTCATTTTCAATTAAACTTGCCTTATAATGAGTCGCCATGGAAAAAGAGCGACTATCACCACAAGTGCACCTCCCAAAAGGAGCCCTACTCGTGCACTCTTAGCAGCAGGATTCTATTGACAATATTCCATGGAAAAATGTATGGACATTAGCTCACAAATATCTCATCACCAACAAGCAAAGGGAAATGTTACAAACTTCTACATCGCTGTTATCTGGTAAAGAATCATCTTAGAAGGACAATGGACACAAACTGTACATTTTGCAAACTGAAAAATAAAATCACCTCTCACTTATTTTGGACCTGCCCAGACTCTGTGTGTTTTTGGAAAGAATTCATAAAACATATACAGAACGTCTTATCCTATTTTACCCTTTCTTATTAAGATGTGCTGTTTGATTTTTGCAGTGTGCATCATTATAATCTGTTATAATGTTAATCAGTTGGTTTCATGGCGGGGCTGTCTCCACCAAAGCTGAGACCAAACCTACGCCCTTGAAACCATGACAAGTTTGGATATAACTCACACAATGTTTAGTGTATTTCAGTTTTTTTCACACTATCATCTATCACTATTACTATTACACTCTATTACGAACATTATTTTAAAGGATCATTGTTTCAAACTTGAAACTAAAGCAGCACAATCCACTGTGGGCTGGTGTTTAGAACATTTGTACAAGACTATACTACTCTTGCTTTTTGAGGGATTCTTTCTGCTGGACCACTTCCTCCAGCTTCCTGAGTCTCCACCTACATTTAACATTGATGTTAAACTGCTCCTTTTCTATTGCTTCATTTATTTTCTTAATTTGTTAATAGAAAAAAAGGCTTTTAAAAGGCTATTAAATGTACACTCTAGTTTGGCTTTTTTCTACAATACAGACTCACCATAAGAAAAAACTGTCCACCCAAAAGTTATGCACACGGACAGTTCACACCTCCACACCTTTCATCAGTCTCGCATCCTTTGGCACGCACACTGCTGGCCACTGACTTTACTACACAGTGATCAGAAAAGCAAACTCAGGGACCTAGGGCCAAACCTCCAATATAATATCTAGTGATTTTGGCCAATATAAGACCCAGGCAAACTAGCTCTATAAAATCATACTCAAAACTGTCTCAACTATAGGAAATGACACCAGTTTTCTACAATATGTACATTTGCATACTGAACCAGCCTCCTTGTTAAAAAAAAATAACTACAAATGGCCCACTACATCTCCTTTTCATCTATGTTGGAATTTTTACCTGAGCAGACTGAAGGAGAAGTTGCAGTTTCCTCTATTTCTCTGGGCACGATTGATTGTTGAGTTGTGCGAGTGGAGAGGCTATTGGACATCCTGTTGTTTGGAGCAGCGGTCTGTTGTGAAGGGATTCTGAAAAGGAAATTGAAACAAACATTTAAAGTGCTTTTACACAATATATTTTCCATGCAGTGGAGCAAAGCTTGTCTGGCCCCAGAACAGATATATAATTGAGGAATAACTTTGGCGCAAACAGGTTCAGATAAACAAAAAAAGCTACAGTGCTTTTAACACCTTTAATGATGAACAGAATATACTTCCATCATTTGATTAAAATACGTGTATCATTCATTCATTATTCAAAATAAAACCAAAAATAAGAAAATGAAAAAACAACTATTTTCTTCATTATTTGTCTCCAAAACCAAAATGAAAAAAATAGATAACGATTAGTTTTTTCAGTTTTTCGATTTTGTGTTTAAATGAATAATGGAAAAAAACTAATAATGTCTGTTTCCTGTTTACATGCCTTAAACTGCACATACGGATTGAACTAGGACTAAACGAGGACTAAAACAGGTCGAAACCAGGACTAAATCAGGACTGAACGAGGACTGAACGGTCTGTGCTCGCATAGACTGGGTTGGGTAATCAGGACTGAGACCAGGACTCAGACCAGGACCAGACCGGGACTGAGACCGGGGCCAGAGGAGGACTGATACCGGGACCAGGCCAGGACTGAGCCCGGGACTGAGACCAGGACTGAGACCAGGACTGAGACCAGGACTGAGACCAGGACTGCGACAGGTTTAGTCCTGGTTCAGTCCTGGTTTAGTCCTGGTTTAGTCCTGGTTTAGACCTGGTTCAGTCTGGTGTGGTTCAGCACTGGAGTCACGGAAACGGGAAACGGCCTTTATGGGTTTTTTTTCATTACTCATTTAAACCTAAAATCGAAAACTTGGAGACAAATAATGAAGAAAATAGTTGTTTTTTTTTTCATTTTCTCTTTTCTTTTCATTTGGTTTTATTCTGAAAAACGAATCAACGAATGATACACGGCTTGATTAAGACAACCCAAAATCAAAAGGTATCTATATTATAAGAAAAAACTAATATTATAAATAAACTTCTTCCATACTCACACTCTGTTCACCATTCTCTTGGCCTCTGCAGCCACAGACCTGTCTTCCTATAGAGAGAAAAGCACAGATAAGAGACGGGTACACAAAAACAGAAGCAGATAAAGTAAGAGAAACTTTGGCAGTGTGTATGTGTTCTATTGTCATTCTCACCTCATCCAGGACTTCTATAGTGAGCCAGGCTCCTGGTTCAGAATTGTCAAGCCCAGATCTTTCAGCGTTGGTGGGGACAGCAAACAGTGAAGTGAGGTAGGTGTGAACTTCCTTGTCTTCAACTGCAAAGAAGAGAAAATGTTTAATGTATGGTATAGGTTTCTAAAAGTAGCCATTTCAATTTATTCCTGCACTAGTGTCCTGTCCAAGGGCTTCAGAATGATGAAAACTGAGGTCTTGTTGTCACAGCAATTCATAATTTAACACAAAATTGAATGGGTTTCAACTTCTTGTATGAAACATTTTGAGGTCTCATTCAAAAGATTTAATATTTTGTTTTGAATTGTTAATTGCCATCGGGACCGTCCTAAAAGATAAATGAAAACCACAAATGCTGCATTGTTAAATTATTATTGTAACAGGACAAACATACAGATAATTTACCATATTTCTTGGACTATAAGTCACTCTGGAGTACAAGTCGCACAGCCAAAAAATGCGTAATGAAGAAGAAAAAAACATATATAAGTTGCATCGGACTATAAGCCATACCTTTTGGGGGAAATTTATTTTATAAAATCAGAGACCAGGAACTGACATTTCATCTTGAAAGGCAAGTTAGTAAAAACTATAGAATAAAGAACAACAGGCTTTTAACGTCACATATGAACAGTTCTTCAGATAACTATAGCTTAAACAACGGAACAGAACAAGTTTACCAAAATCTCCATCTCACTCCAAATCACTAAATCCATTGAATTCTTCATCCTCGGTGTCACTTCTGAGCACCTCCGCGACCTCTGAAGGTAAAACATAGATCCATGAGGCAAACGGGGTGCCACTTCCTCTTCTGTGTAGCTGTCGTCAGACTCAGCATCGGTTTCAGTTAGAATTATTCCGGCCTTTCTGAATCTCGACAGAATGGTTTCGGTTGTCACTGAAGTCACAGTGTTCTCCATCCCGGCTTTCTGCCAGTCCCTCACAAGTTTCTCACTCACTCCAAACTTTCTTTCTGCTGCTCGATTAACATTTTTGGCTGAATATTTCACTACTTGCAGCAGGACAGTGAATTTTTCTGCAGGAGACATGCACAGTAGGGCATGGGATAACAGTGATACAGGAGTAATAGGAGCAGCAGATACTGACACGCAAGTCTAGAGCGCTCTCTCGAGGCTGTCAGTGTGAAAATTTTAATATATAAGTCGCACTGGAGTATAAGTCGCACAACCACCCCTAAATCATGAAAAAAGTGTGACTTATAGTCCGAAAACTATGGTAAATGGATAGTAATGCTAACAAAAAGGAATAAATATCATGGTTCATAGTGCTCTTTTTATCCTGGTTCTGCAATAAAACAATGCATATTATATGAAAGAATTTACAATTAAATTGTGTACAAGTTCTGACTAAATTGGTAAAAATTGTAAACTTGCAATAAAAGAACATCGGCAATTTTATTAGATCTTTAGAAAAACACAATGCAAACATTTGTTTCAACTTAAGTATCCTAAACTCCTCTCACAACCTCATTTCAAACAGAAATTGCAAACTTTGTTTCATTTACACATGTTTAACACACAAACCCTGCATATTTATGCTGAGCTCTTCTCTCAAACACAAACACTCTGTTCCACCTTGTGATGTCATGTGGTAATAATACATTTTGCAAATATTCCACACACCTTCACTAGAATCATTGATAATTTCAGCCCTGGAATTGCCAATCTGCACTGAAGAAAAAGTAAAACATAGCTGTTAACTTGAAAACTACTGCTTCATGACAATCACAAGGTGGAACAAAGAATTTTGAGCTTTGAAGATGTAGAAGGACGAACAATAAAAGGGTTACTCAAACATGTGTGCATGAAACAAAACACAACTCCAGCTATGTTTTTGATGATGTAACAACATTATAACATGACTTAAAGCTCACCAGAGTAAATCTTATGTAAGGACCTTTAAGTATACATAATTAACTAATGAACTTATGTGAAAGTTACCTGAACATTTTGAAGCAACAACATTGCCAAAACCCAGCAGCATCCTAAAGCGATGGAATCATCTAAACCGGCTCTCCTGATAATGCCCTGTCTCTTCTCTCATCGGCGTTGTCACTCCACATTACCTGAGTGCCACCGAGCCCCTCTGGCTGTCTCCTGCTAACAGCCCCTCTATCACATCTCCACATGGGTCTGACAGCTCGGAAAAATGAGAATTTAAAACAAGGGAGAGCGCGCCACATGAAGCCACCAAACAGCCTTTATTATTCATGGACACACCGAGTCAAGCCTTTCATATTCAAAGCTACCAGAAGAGAGGAAACTTTGCAACCTGTTGTAAGTGTTGCTGCACAATTTATTAGATGCTTATAGTTTTGTCAAACGCTGTTGTCAGGTCATAAAAGTGTCGCCATAACAGCATATCCAATTATTAGATTTAGAAGGTGATAAATCTGGAGAATGTGTTAATGTTGTTAGAAAGAGAGAAGCGTGATTTGTTTTGGTTGTTATTTTGTTAGTCAATAACTAAACAAACAAATATTGCACTATGTAACTTTTCTGAAGGAGGTTCCACCGCCTGCTTGTCGCCATGAAGATACTATAGCTTTGCCCAGAATATATGGCCTTAAACAGTCAAAACCCTTGTTGTGTAATAAATGCAGGTAGCTCTGTTTAATGACATATGGCTGTGCAAAGGTAGTCCTCATTCACTTTGTGTCGGAAAAATCTGTCCTAAAGCTGTGCACGTGGCCACAGAATGCATGCATGTGAACACCAACAACGTGCCAAATGGTTTGTGAGAGCTTGGAACATGTGTCAGATAGAATTAAATACCTACTTTCTCATTTCAGTTTGAAAATCATCCAGCTTTATACTATTTTAATATGAATCACATTCTGTGGGTGTAATTATGTGACTTGATGTTGCTTATTGAATTTTTTCCTTTCAGGCCAAACAAAACATGTGCATTGCCGCAGGCGCAGAGTTGATTATTTACCTGTGTGCATTTAGGCTGCACGGACATCTACTGAGAATGCCAGATCATTTATAAGCACCACAAGTGTGAATAATTTCAATTAGCAACAATCATTTAACAACATAACAGAATATTACAATAGGAATAAACTGTGAAAAAAGAGAAGGAATCTACTGCAGAATAATCAACTCAGCCTACTAACACTTTATAAATGGGTGCTGATAAATATGTCATAATGGTTAAATATACTGTTTTACAGGGCAGAGGTACTAGTAGATATTTACCAGATTTTTTTTATGTGATGAAGTAAAATTTGTTTTACTGTAAATAGGGATGTAACAATACCTGAAATATCATGATATCCTATTCTCAAAGTTCTCACAATAATATCGTGGACCATCACAAAATCAAATTACACGTCTCTTTGCTTAAATTAAGAGTTATGAATCAGGAATAGCTAAAAAAAAAAAAAAAAAAAATCCACAAGGAACTACATAAACCATGATCCTTTGCTCCATTTCAGTGTAGACTACATGAAGAAATAACAGCTCTAAGCATGTTGAAGTCTTAGTTCTTTGGATTAAGTCTTGTCAAGGCAGTTTAAGAGGAAAAAGCATATTCACAGTTTTGTTTGTAAGCCTCCAGAAAATATCGCAATAAATGTTGTACTATGAGATGTATATCGTGCAAATATCGTACAGAGAGATACCTCATCATGAGCCTCCCCACCAGCCTCCCCACCATATCGTGAGCTTTCCCACGATATTGCGATACATATCGTACCGTGAGGTTCATGCTGTGACGATATTGTATCGCGAGACTTGGATATCGTTACACCTCTAACTGTAAATGCATCTTTTAGGGTGAAACATTGATACAACACATTTCTATGAATTGAATCAATGATATTATTATTATTATTATTATTATTATTATTATTGTTATTATTATTATTATTTTTGTTGTTGTTGTTGTTTGTTATTATTATGATGTATCATTGCGCTGCCTGAAAAATGTATTTCCTTCTGGATAAATAAAGTATTATCTATCTGCATTGCTGATAAAGCGGCCATATCCACTGACCCACAGGTTGACAGTGTGATAACAGTTGTTGTGTCCTTGGACAAAACACTTCCCTCCCTTACATCAGGCACAGCACCTTTAACTAAACTTTTTCAAAAGAAACTAGTACATTTGCATTGGCGAGTCAAGCAAACCAGGACATGCAAATCAGGAGAGATCATCCCTGGAGTATGAGTGAGTTGCCATTTGACAGATGTTGGGTCTGGAGGTTTAGGAAAGGGAGCAATGACCCTGCTCTACTCGCTTCTTGTCATTCTCGGCTGGGGTGCAGACATCCAGGACCCCCCCTGACTGATGAACCTGCCCATCCCTTCGCTCGGCTCACTGTCAGGGCCTCGGACATCCCTCTAACCCCTGCAATCAGCACTGGCGATTACCCTTCACCGGGCCACGGATGGATAGGCAACCGGGCGCGTTTTGATTTTCCTTCTGTGAGCGCGCGGGTCATCAGTCAGGTTGTGTTGGACTCGCCTGCTTTTGGAGGAGGCTAGAGGGGTTGTCACGGTGATAAGTCAACATGCTTGCTATGAGTCCAGGCGGAGCTAGGGATATACAGTGGAATACGAGCAGATGAGTGTATTACCTGTCAGAGTGGCCTCCGGATCTTTCTCAGGGCTTTGTGGGAGTGGGTTCACATGCGGGTCCATCAGAGGAGCAAGCTCATTTGGATTTCTGAAATAATAGAATGAGTATTAAACGGGCTGTATCAATTTTTTTGATATATTAAAGTTGCATTGTGTATCTTTTTGGTTGGTCCATCACCTTCTTTTTCTGTGGATATGGCATTGCTTTACTGAGAATGTTCCACAATATTACATTAAACAGATCTTACGTTTATTCAATTAAAGGTGGTTTTATAGCTCAAAATATCTAGAAAAAGGGGCATTTTGTGAACAAGGTTGCCTCTCCACAGATCTGACCTGTAACTTGGTCTGGTTTGGTCTCCATGAAGATAGGAAGGTTTAATACCACACTGTGACACATTCTAGACAAAGCAATAACATCTCCATGGAGAAAAGCATTTGAGGGACCACCAGACTTCTACCAGAAAAGTTACATAATGCACCTTTAAAATAAATACTGTTAAGTCTCAGTAGAGATGTAAAAGCAGCTCTTAGGGTCAAAATGTAAAGTGGTGTGCTGCCTGAATCAGATTATACTGTTGTTGTTTTTTTGTTTTTTTTGTTTTGTTATTTTAATCATCCGTGAACCAGAAAGCAATGCTTGTGCACTTTTAGTATGCAAAACTGGGCTCTGGCATCTAAAAGTTATGAAAAGCATGTATTCTGATTGCAGCAAATCATTAATTAGTTAGTTAGATTTTTTTTTTTTACCTTTTTAAATCAGGAAAAAAATCGTGTACAGCAGGTTTAAACAAAGGTTAGAAGGAAGACTATCTCCTGCTAACTCAGCCTGTTTTCATCGTCAGCCAATCACAGCGTAATACCTTCGGCTCTCAACCAATCATGGACCAAGCTGTTAATTGAACTGCACTTTTCCCACATTTTTCCTTTCCTTTCACAACTGAGCTTTCTCTACCCGTCTCTTCAGTCATACATACAATTCTAAGTTTGATTTTTGCCCGTCTCACTGGGAGAGCTACGACACACAATTTTGAGATACAACTCAAAATATTCCCACAATCTGAAATCTTTTATTGCAAATGGCCAAAATCATGCAGTGGACATACAGCTTAATATACCTTTGCAGCAGCGGCGAAACCACCAATCTCCTCAGTCTTTCAGTTCTTTTCTATATCAAATCCATCCATTATGTATGTGGCTACTGATGCAAAATAACTGACAGTTCCATAAAGTTTGATCTTACGTTGCCTTCGCTTTCTCTCCATCCTTCCCTCTGTCCTTCTTTGCATCCTCACCTTTTTAGTCCTCCCTTTATCCTCATCTAATCTGACCAAAGGGCGGCTGGATTTATAAGCAGCTCTTCTCTGAGGTCCGGGGGGGTGACTTGCAAACTTTTTACACAGTTTCTATATCTCTTCTTACATGTCTAATATTTGTCTTTTCATCTACTTACAATATTTAATCTTGTTCTTCGTATTCCGTTTTAATCCCCCTCTCTTCCCTCTCGTCTCTCCTAGTATCCGTGTTTTCGCCCTAGGATATTTGCATTAAGGCTTTAGCTGGTCTGCGTTGCTAAGGAGCCATGTTGCTCTTTCAGGTCTCTGTCGATTCAACATTTTGAAGTGAAATGATTGAATTTCTTCTGCTAAAATGTAGTTAATATAAAAAGGTTTATCATAAACAGCAGCAGGTTCTTTGGGGAAATTCTAGGTTTGGTAGAGATGAAAAGTCCTTTTGCAAGAATTTTAAAAAACAAGAATGATTGGCTTCTCTGTCAGGATGTGCTGGAGGGGAAGAATTCTGAAGTAATCAATTCACCATCAAATATTCATCGGAATCTGAGGAATATTGAATGTTAGTATACTCACAGTGCTTCCACAAAAAATCACTTTCAGTAGGTGGATCTGCTGAATTATGTAAAGGTATGCATAAAACAAGAGAACATGTAAAGTGAATGCAAACACACACACACCTCTGCTGATTGTGGACGATGAACAATATTTGCTGATACAGACATTAAGGTTTTAAATTTATAGGAGATATCGCAAATGAAGTTTTTCCTTTCACAAAGTGGGAATGACACATAGGTAAAAAAAAAGGAAAAAAAAGACTAAGGCAGCTTAGAAAAAAATGTGTTAGGCAGTAGTGAAAAAGTAAAGGATCACTGTAATCACATTATGAAAACTAAATCACAGTTACTTAACCTAGTAACTTTTGGTTACTTTTTTCCCTGCCAAAGTGTGTAATTCATATACCGTATTTTCCGTACTATAAATCGCACCAGCCAAAAAATGCACAATGAAGAAGAAAAAAAACATATATAAGTTGCACCGGACTATAAGTCGCACACATCACTAAATCCATTGAATTCTTCACCCTCGGTGTCACTTCTGCGTGACCTCCGGAGACAAACCGTAGATCCAGATGTAAACAGATCGCCTCTTCTTCTTCTGTGTAGCTGTCGTCAGACTCAGCATCAGTTCCAGTTAAAATTATTCCAGCCTTTCTGAATCCCAACAGGATGGTTTCACTTGTCATTGAAGTTCAGGCTTTGTCAGTTCATCCAGTGACTTCCAGGAAAGTTGCGTGGCGCATGGCGAGGTTGTGTTCTCCATCCCCGCTTTCCCTCACAAATTTCTCACTCACTCCAAACTTTCTCTCTGCTGCTCGATTACTGTTTTTGGCTGCATATTTCACTATTTGCAGCAGAATAACAGCTTTTCTACAGGAGGCATGCGCGAAATGACAGTGGTACAGTAGTAATAGATACTGACACAAAAGCCTAGAGCGCCCTCTCGTGGCTGTCAGTCGGAAAATTTTAATACATAAGTCGCACCGGAGTATAAGTCATCGGACCACTCAAACCATGAAAAAAAGCGTGACTTATAGTCAGAAAAATACAGTAACTGTGTTGTAAACCAGTAAAAAAGATAAACAGGAGCACATGATTCTTCTTGTGGGGTCAGACGTAGATCACTTATGAACCGAAACAACACAAATCCTGGTTTATGGGGGACTGTGCTTTTGCTTGAAATTAGGTTCTACAACAGAAAATGTAATTAATGTGAAGAATTTTTGCTTTTTTGATGTTAATTCCTGATCTGTATGTTTTCTATTTTATTAAATGAACTTATGGTTATCAGTTTTGAAGCAGTAATCAGTTAGTTTCATTAGTTTTGCAAAGTAATCTGGCAAACACTGGTGCCAAATATCTACTACATTTTCAATATCAGACAGACACTGATATCTGGGAAACCCCTGTTACTGTATATCGCACATACATATCACCTATCCCTATGTGAGATAATGTAGTGGAGTCCAGTACTGATGCAACCACTGCAGGTACATTGCATTGACGAGACACCTTCGGGCCAACTACCTATATAAAGCACCAGAGTTTACACTTGTCATAAACCTTAGTATTTTTTTATTTAATTTCCTCCCCTTGCTGTGTCTACCTGCTTTCCTTTGCCCTCTTGCACATTCTCACAGAAGCTTGTTAAAATTCACCCTCTCTCTGTCTCTCCATTAGCCGGTGCCACCATTGCCGCTGCGGGCTTATTGCACTCTAGATTGGCTCTCCACTCTATTCCACACTTAAAGGCGGCGTTCCGAGGCTGGGGAGTTACAGCGTTCCCGAGTCTGGCGGTGATTCGCTGTGTGTGCTGATACTGCTCTCTGCCCTCCCCGGTTCCCCCCAACCCTGCTCTCCAGTGGGCCCCAGGAACCCGAGAGGAGCAGCTTAAATAAAGGGCTGTAATAATGGGAGGCGCAGGAGCTGGGCCCTCTGGCAGTGAGGCACACAATAACTGCTGAGAAAGTGCGGTGTTGGCTGGCAGCTTGTGCTAAGGCCTGCGACAGAGGAGGAGGAGGAGTGCCAGGAGTGAGTGATGGAGGAGATGTGTACACGAGGAAATGGAAAAGCTCGGACAAGTTGAACATAAATGGAGCGATTGGTTGTTTTCAGATTCTACGATATAATAGGGAGCCAGAAACACTGTTGTTAAGTGGATTACAGTTTTAACCCTGATTATTTCTATTAGTGAATTATAAATGTGTAATAATAATATAATGTGTAATAATAATGGGGCAGCAGTAGCGTTGGTAGAGCCCCTGATCCCGAATGCTTCCATAATGGCTAATAACCGGGATACTGATGTGCATGTAAACGTACTCATTGGTTGAGCGGTCAGATCCATGGACCCACAGGTTGGCGGTGCGATTCCAGCTCCCACAGATGAATGCTGTCGTCAAGACACTTAACCCACCTCCCCCTCAGTGTCTGTCGTGTCTGCGTACACTAGAGATGCACAGATGGCGGTTACAGGCGTGGACTCCGCGACTAAACCGCAGGTCGGGTGGATGACGTGAAGAAAAATAATATTTTAATGAAATTCAGAAGGGTGGCAATTTAACTACTCAAACAAAAAACGCAGAACTCTGTGATCAATCGGCGGATGGCGGGTACAGTTTTGAAAATTGGTCAAAAAACGTGGGTGCAAATGGATAGCGGATGGATGATGAGTTTTGTGATGCGGTTGCGGATGAAAAAATAGCCCACCCGCGCATCTCTAGCGCAAACTGGCATATGAATGTGTGAGTGTGAATCAGTGAGTGGTTCCTTGTTGTAAAGCACTTGCCTTGAAATTGGAAAAGCACTATAGACTTTAAAGGCGCTGTACCAGAATTGTTCCAGTTATTCCTCACTTTCCTACAGCATTCCAAGCATTATTCACCACAATGAGCTTAGAAGCGCTTTTCACAATCAGTCCAGAGTCGAGTTTTTGTAGTTGCAACAACTAGCATGCTAACAGTGCACTTCTTGGTTTGCAAAAGACAAAATGCTTTTTAGATGCAGTTTCTTTAATTTAAGGTAAAGAGCTACAGTTATTATATATATGTACTGTGGGAAACAAATTTTACTATTATGTGAAAAAGGACACTAGAAATGAACTAATACAGGTGGATGCTCATTTGCAATGTATTTAATAGCTGATAACACTAGCTTAGTATTGACAACCCTTCAAACTCTAACTGCAAGTTGAGGATCAATCACTGGCACATGCATTATTAACCATTATGGGCAACACACTTCACCTACTGGTCAAAAATAATGACCCTGTTTACAAAAGATGAAATGGAACCAATACTGAATGCTGTTAGTTATTAATTTAAACTTTTTTTTTTTGTCGTGAACCCTCAGTTTGATTGAAACATAACTTGCTACTGTCAATGCTTCGTAACAATAATGATATGTCTGTGAACTAGCAATGCACCCAAAGACTTAGTAAACAACACATGACATGCATAGAAATAAACCTATACATTCAAAATATAACACTCATAACATTTTCAGACACTAAGCCAGATCTTGTTTTCTAACTCCTACACGTAAATGTATTATTGTCAAGGCTGGCCACCTTAAATCTCCTGACAGGAGACTTTGCATGCATACATAGTTTTTATTGTGTATGTACCTGCGATGTTTCTTCAGCATCAATCTGTCCAAAAGGGTAAGACCGCCTTCTGAAAACTCCACCCTGACAGGCACTCTTCCCCCCTCACCTCCTCCGCGCGGGGGGAGGTCGGCTTGGATCGGAACGTTGGCCACCGTCACTAGGAGAGAAAGGTGAGAAAACAGATGTGATATAAGTACAGAATGGGAGCAAGTATAGCGCCCTGGAAAGGACAAACCAGGTAAAAAAGAGTAGATGAGGATTTATTCACTGTCTGAAACACACCTTGGGAAGTGTAAAGACGTATTGTCGCCACAGGCTCCTATGGGACAGAAGGGAACTTATATAACAGGACACAAAGAAATAAGAGATACGCAGGCAGGACACACAAGTGGATTTACGTTTATAGGCTTTGAAAAGGAAATATCAAAGTGGAATATTTCTCTTTCTGTGAATTTAATTTGAACTGTGTGTAAGGATAGGATAAAAAAGATTTTTTAACTGATGTTGAATAAGGTATGACCTCCTCTAGGATTCACACTAAATAGTTAAACTGATATAAATAAAGAGTAATGTGCAGTTTTGTAACTATATGCTACGTTAAAGGGCCTGTACACTGATTTTTATTCCATGTATTTGAGCAAAATGTATCTTGCCCCAGTACAGTTGTATTATATAAGCAGCATACTGTGTTTATTGTGTGTGGTTAGCATGCTAGTTTTTAGCTTTTCTGTAATGGTAAAGCTCTGTTCTAGTCTGTGAGAGTTGTGAAAAGCTCTTATAAACTCATCACCCATAATTTCAAATATAATGGCATTTACCTTGCCTCACATTAAAGGCTACCACACACTACATACCACAGACACAAGGAGAATCTTGCGAGATTTTAAATGCTGTGGGATATGGCGGCATATCACAGGCTGCAAAGTTGTGAGTGCACCTCGCGTCTGCTGTTTCCTGTCTAGAGTAAAAAGACTTGCTTTGAGACTCTGAAGTGTTCAAAAGATCAGAGCACTGCACTTCTAGTTTAGATGCAAGTCAGAACTATGTTATTATTTGTTAAATGTGGTGCATTACTTCAAATACTTGATTTTTAATGCACAGGCTGGCACTAAAGTACACAGGAAGTAGAGTCACTATTATTAATCTGCAGCTTTACCCTGGTCCGCACACTGTGTGGATGTAAACAGACATGTGAGGATCTACTCACACTTCAAACTGCATTCATAACACGGTTTTGTGGACTGGGTGTCATTATTTGCGAAGGACCATTTCTATGGATAATATGGCTGAGATGCTGCAGTTTAAATGTCCAGCCTTACAAGAGATGAGTAATAAAGTCGCCTCATTATTTTTTTGTTTGTATCTTGCATCTCTGTGTCTGTCACTCTGTCTGCCCCTGACGCTCCATTTGATTGGCTGGTGCATTGGTGGTGATATTTTACTGTTATGATCTGACAGAGCAGCTCAGAGTCACCCTGACATCACACACACATACATGCACACACAAACGCGCACACACATGCACACACGCACACACACACACACACGAGGAGGACACACACACACACACACAGAGCACAGCAGCTTCAAAACTGCACATGAAGAGACAAAATCGGGTCATGCCTCCCCAAACTCAGGGTGGAGCAAATCACTCACTAATTCTATCTTCAGAAATCTGCAGTATTTTTCAGTTTCCAGTGATGTTTTTCTCTTTCCTTTTTCCTCATAAAAAGCCACATTTGTTTTCATATGGATGGACCACACATGTCCCTGATTAGCCAATAGACTTGTCCATCACACTCATCTGAACTCAGAGAGATTCATCGTGACCAGTCTCACATCTTGGTTATGTATTAGAGAAGTGTGTCCTAGATCCCAGGCAATCATAATGCATTAGGTAAGTCAGGAATAAATTTGGACCACTACAAACCCTTTAAACTAGTTCAGTTTTTCAGGGTTTTAAGGCAGTAAAAATCAGGTGGAGTGCCTTTAATTCCTGTCTTCTAATCTGGTAATTAGTTACCATTCTTGGCTGGAAGCAGTTTGGCCATTCACCTTTCGCGTCTAACATCAAAATAAAATAAAGCAGATAAATGGCACCACTCAGTAGATGTTTTTCCATTTTCGCCCACTCTCTGTAATAAGACAGCAGTTTGATACTGTGCATAAAAGCATTTCTCAAATGTCAAAATCTGACAGCAACATCAATGCCTCAATCAAAGTCACCTGTCTTTCTTTTCTTCACCAGCTGAGAGGTTGCTGATTCAAACCCCATGAAAGATTTTACTAATGATGTGTCCTTGAGCAAGACACAATAGATAAACGTGTTATGTTTGATATTGCAACCTCAATTGACAAGCCAAAGTTTTAAAGTAAATGCATTTGGGAGATTTATAAGACTAAAGCAGCCAGGTAAGTGAAATGGGAAGTGTGCATTTATTTTCCTTTTTTTTTTTTTTTTTAATAACAATTAAACAAATCTCAAAGTACTTTATTATATACTGTAGTCATTATTCATTCACTTCATACTTGGTGGTGGAACGCCACTGTTGTAGCCACTGTTGCCCTGGGGTAGACTGACTGGTCCCTTTAACACTCACCACATTCATACTAGGCAAGTTGGGTAAAGTGTCTTGCTTAAGGACACAACGACAGAACTTCTGACCTTCAGGTTGGCATACGAGTGCTTTAACCACCAAACCAATGTCGCCACTATTGCCCCAATATTTACGGGACAACGCATATTAACGAACCTGTAACATTTTGCATTAAGGAGAAAGAACCAGTCCACTCCAGCAAAACAAGACTCATTCAAAAAGTTTCCTACTTGTACACAGAAAAAGTAAGTTAGATAAATAATCCCCAAAAATAATTGTTCCATTTATCATGTATTGAATTCTGTGTTGATATAGTATTTATTGTGACAGGCCAAGACTCATTCACTACTATAGGTGTACAAACATCAGAATCCTATGGCCTTCTGAAAAACACACAAGCAATCGAAGCGACAGAGACTGAAGAGGACATAGGTGCGAAAGCAAAATGTTATGATTGTTCTTCTCACACTTTTGGCAGTCCACTGTGTCGGCTTTAAATTGGACCCTGGCGCTAGTGGCCTGACAGAAATAATTAGGGCTAGAGGGTCTGGCAGCAATTTGCAGAGCACCGCAAAAATGGAAATAAAAACTAGAAGAAAAAAAAAAAGAGAAAGAAGAGCAAAGATTGTCCGAGCAGTAAGAAATAGACACAACCTGGAATAATAACGCTAATAGCAAACAAAAACTGGACCACATGTGTTGCAAAAAAATGGTGTTAAAAGGCAGAGGCTTGACATAGGCGCAGATATGAGGCGATTAGTGCAGTGTGCAAAGAAATAAGGGCACACCGAATGCTCCTCTCATTATCGAGGTATGTAACAGCCCTGGATTACTCCCATGGTGCAGCCGTAAGCACTTTTTGTAAGGCCTTACCCGATCAGAGAGCGCACAGGAAGAGTGGGGATATCCAGGCAGATTGGGGGGAATCAGGACAAAGTGAAAAATAAAGGTGAAATAATGAGCTAATTTAACTATTTTCAATTCTGTGAAAGGGTGAGGGAAAGTCAAGTAGCATTTGGTGGAATCCATTTAAGGTCACCATACTTAAATTGACAGTTGTTTAGCTTATACAAGTTGTTAAGTTGTTGTTTACTAATTAGAAGCATACATAGTTGTGATTTGTTTCATTTATTTTCAATAATTCCATGACTGTGTCTTAATGTCCATACTATTCTCTGCTTACACAATTTTCAGTGGTGCCAGAATGTCCAGAAGGTGAAGTGCACTCCAAAAATTCCCACAATACATCTTGAAATGTAGTGTCCAGGGATGGCCACTAGAACCACAATGCATTGCAAGAGTCAGGGAAAAAACTGCAGACAGCGACAGGTCTAACTGGACACAACATGACTGAATGAAAGCAAAAAGAAACACTGTTTTAACGCTCTGTTGGCCGGTGTTTCTTGATAAACCACTATAAATTAAGAGAAATTAATCACTAGGGTGGACATGAGGACACAGCTATTGTCATCATACTCATTTGGATAGTTTCATGGCTTAAATTCCTGTCACTGTGTAAGTAAGCAAATTTATCTATTAACATCACGCTAACTGAAATACTGTGATATCCTATCATAAAAAGTCTTGCAATAATATCATGGGCCATCAGAATATATCGAATTACACATCTTTTTGCTTAAATTCATTGCTGTGGTACAGCAACAGCTGCAAAACAGATGGAACTACATAAACCATGATCCTTTGTTCTGTTTCAGAGCAGACTACAAGAAGAAATAAGTTTATTAATGAAGAAGTTAAATTATTAAGCAATTTAAATGTCAGTTCTTTGGATTATGACCAAACCAAAGGCTTGTTGTCAAGGCATTTTAAAAGGAAACAGTATCATACTTATAATTTCTTCAGCTTCCACAGCATATCGCAATAAATATCGAACTGTGAGATGCATATCGGTTGTACCATTGTACCAAGAGATTTGGGATCATTACATCCCTACAAACAGTGCTTAATAATGTTTTAAAACTGTCCTTTAAAGGGTAACCAACACAAATATTAGATAAAACTAAGCAGCCACAAGGACAATACATTATTATCTATATCCACAGCTATTTAAACATTAGAATTCACCTGGGCGAGGAGGTGTCCACATGGCGTCTGGTGCAGTAGACGGCGCTGCGTTTCGCCATTGTCTCAAAGCATCCTGGAATGATTTGGCAGACGCTTCTTCATCATATATTTCATTTAAGAGAGAGAACTCGGTTTCAGAAGATTTTAACTTGTTGTTTTCTTCTCCATGAACCTTTAAAATCTACCAAAAGAAAAAGAGAAATTCATCAGGTCATGATATCATACAACTGCAGCCTTAACAAATGGTGACTGTCTAGGCTTAAGGAGCAATGGGGACAGTCCAACAAATATCATCAGAAAAGGAAAACCTTTATAAACCTGGATGACAACAGTGGATAAAGCCATCCTAAAGTCCTACTAAATTCATACTAAAGGCTGTGTACCCATTTTTTCCCCTGTATATGAGCAAAATATGTCTTGCCCTAGTACAGATATATTGTATAAACAACTCTTGAAGTCAAAATAAGTCTGATGTGAACTGCCTGCATCTAATTATTTATAATGTCTGAGAATCAGGAAGGGCATGTTAGCATGCAAGTTCTCATAAGTTTAACCATTACAGCATAACTCCGAAAGTTGAAACAGTTAGGAAAAGTGTTTGTAAACTGTAACTTTGGACCACTGCAAACAGTAAAAAAAAAAAAAAAAAATCTGATACTTTAAATATCAGGACACATGCCATGCTATTTTTTCGTTTTTATGGTGTCATGTCCACATTCCTAATCCTAATCTAATAACAGGAAGTCAAATCATTATTATTACTAAAATAGAGGTTTGTACATTCATATTTTGTTAATTAATGCAATAACCTCCGAGGCTAATATGCTAAATGAAAAAAAATTGCCCAAAACTTCAATTTTAGCATACAATACCCTTCCAATTATATTTTAGAAGACACTTTTGCCCCCTGCCTGGTTCAGAATTGAAACTAAAATTGCAAAACTCTAATAATACCGTTTTTACTGCCATATAACCCATTCGTACATACTGCGACCATGGCCGCTTACTTTGAATGGCTGCTGGGAGAACAATGCTAACTGCGCTCGGTTGTATGAAGAGCCTGAAATGTCAATGTAACATTTTTGCCAGACTGTTGGGGGCCATTTTGTAGTGTAAAGGTAGAGCCAGTTCACAAGCCTGCCTGGAGATATTGCCTGTGGATAGAACGTCAATTAGGTTTGGTTCGGGTCCCATTCTTTTGACTCTCGGGGAGCAGAGGTAGCACTCACGCCGAGCTCAACCTTGTCTGACATATTTCTGCTCTGCGGTCACAGCACGTAAACGATAAATGGAGCAGACCCAAGAGCTTTGTACGTCAATATCTGTTTAGAAAATATTCTTCGGGAGTTTGAGTGAAGTACAAACAGCTGGGTGATATTACTAACTTTGAAATGGAAATGTCAAGTTTTTCAGGTATTTACAAATGGTTTAAAGCCTTAATGGTTGAACCTTCATAATGACAGCACCGTAATTAGCCTTAATAAAGCATGAAAAAAGACTGAATTCTTCATAATAACAAATGTTTGCTGAAGAGGAAGTTTTATGCAAAATCGACTTTTTGGAGCTTTCTGTTATGTTATAATGTTGTTACTTCATCAAAACAACACACTACAATTTCACAAACCTGACCCCAGGAAAAATAGCTACTGATATTTCAGTAGCTAATGGGGATCTTAATAAACAAACAAACCTGATGCAATGGGCAGTTTCATTAGCAAAATGAATGGCGCTTGTAATGTGATAGCAAACTGAAGGGGGAGTGACTTAGCAAGCGAAGCAAAAGGAGGGGGAGTGTCAAAAAAAAAAAGAAACTTATTAAACATGTTAATACATTGTTTTAGTATTTCAAACAATAAAAGGTATTTGTGATCTGTATAATATGTTAGTAATCATACCCCCTATCAAAATATAAATTGTGTACAAAACAAAACCCAAAAAGGTTCATATTCCTGAAGAGTAAGTTACTGGAAAGTTGAACTCTATAACAGATGTATCAAAGGTATATTTGAGCCTACTACTCTAGAATATGGCTTCTATCGATTGTTTCCCAGATGTACACAGCCATTTCTGTGCTGCCCTAATGATAATATACTATGATTAATATACCATATTATTCAACATTGACAATATGCCAAATGGAGGTGACAAAATGCAGGCATTTTATTGGCCTTGTCAATCTATTACTACCTTTTCTGCTTGGGGAGAAACATAATTCTAAGTGAATTTATTTCTATTTTTATGTTATTTATTTGTTCTGGTGGGTTTCATACATTATCACTAATTGTCATTGTTTTGATGAGATTTAATGATCACGTTTAATATTCACGAGTAGTCCATATATAAAATTCTATGTATGGATGTGTGAATAGGCTCATGTCCCCATTTTGCACATACAGTCATTTTTCACATTCTCACATTTGAAACCCATTTGCTCTGCATCTTAAAATAGTGTACTAAACAACTGGGCTATTATTCCCCTGTGTGCTGTCTGCATCTAATTATAACGCAATTTATTCTACAAGCAGGAAGTGTGCTGTTAGCTTACTATTTGAATGAACCATCACAGTGAATAATTAGGATGTTCAGAATGCCTAAGGTAAGTGAGGAATAACACTGGACCAGTGCAAACTATTTAAAATGAACTAGCTGTGTTTTTCAGGTTTTGAAGACAGTAAAAATCAGGTAGAACACCTTTAAAGACAGTTTATATGTCCCACCTGACTGGCATTGTCCTGACTTTGCGTAAGTGGAGCGGTGACAGAACTGACAGGCCCCTGATCTGTGAATGAGTTGGACAAGGCGCTGTGATTGTGTGCAGCAGGATTGTGATGTGGATTAGGACTTGAAAAGGTAGAGGTATAGCGGCTCGGATTAGGCTGGAGGCTGTTGCTATTGACAACATCTCGAGCGCTCACATGGGTCTGTAACTCCGTCTGTAAAAGAGAGACACAATAGTAAGATTAGGGCTTTGTTTCACTGTAAAGGTGGGAAATTGGTCAAATCATTAATAGAATAACTTCCAATGGTCATTTGTCAAGCAGTAATTTAGTTTTAGCCGGGATTTAGTCAAATTATTATTATTTTTTTGTTTTGATCTAGTTCCAGTTTACAAAAATGTCATGCAGATTAATCGATTTAAACCATAATAGTAGCTTTAATATTTACTAAAATGGTAAAAGATAGTAGCTGTTAACTTGAAAACTACCGGTTCATGACTGGAACAGAGCATTTTGAGCTTTGGAGATGTAAACAGACTGATAATAATAATGATAATGAATAATGATAATAAAAGGTTACTCAAACATGTGTGAATGAAACAAAACACAACACCCAGTTATGTTTTGATGCGGTAACAACATTATAACATGTCTTAAAGCTCATTAGAGTGAATTTTGCATAATATAGGACCTTTAAGACAAAACATGCAGTATATACTTTAGAAATTTCCATTTTAATAAACTGCACTGTTTCATGGGACATGTACAGACTTGTTCCTTGGGTTCTTGCTCCTATAATCAATAAAGATATCATTATGATTACTTTTTACTATGACAAAATGCTAGTAGTTGACCAAATTAACTAAAATTAACTTATATATATAATTCATTAAAGGGTCACTATGTACCTTTTCTGGTAGAGAGCCCACCACTTGTTTGAGATATTCCACAGTATGGCAAATTTCTAGCATTTATTCAATTGCATGTCTGTTTATTGCCAATTGTTACCTAGGCTTGCGTCTCCACAGATCTGAGCCCATAACTTGGAGTGATAGTCACACTCTATGGAAATACATTTACTGTAAAACATTTCAGGCAGGTCTGGACCCTCCAACAGAAACATTACATAGTTTTCTGTCTGTCTGTAATACTTATAATACATTTTTTTAAGAATTACTTTTTCTTTTTTTTTTTATCATAAAATAAAAATAGCAATTTTATGATTTTTTTTTATTTTTTAGATTTTCCTTTTGCTTTGTCTTGTTAGCCTCCAAGGTGTCTTTAACTTTACAAACGTAATTAACCTCAATATAAACACTATAACAAAATGAATGTCACAAATAAACCTTGAACGTCTGAAAATGATTTTGTCAACAAAATAAATCTGAACCTGGTACTGCTTGAAAGAAAGACACTGTTAACCTTGTATAAAACATAGCTTTCAGCACAAATAATAAAACACACAAGGTTTCTTAGGTAAGTGAAGCAATGTGCTGCAGGCCTACACTGTAAAATGATGAAATTAATATCCATTTTCCCCTCATTTTGTCTCTCCCATTTTCTTCCAAAGCAAATGAAACAGGATTAGTGGAGATAGAGAGATGCCTGCGTCAGCTGTGTATAATCCCCAGTCTTAATGTCCTGCCAGGATGCACAGTTTGGTGAGGGCTGTGGGGCTGTGAGTGTGTGTGTGTGTGTGTGTGTGTGTGTTTGTGCAGAGCAGAAAGATAAAAACAGATGAGCCCAGAATGAGATACACACTGTGGATGAGTGGCAGGTAGAGTGTTAGCGTAAGCACTGTTTCCATTTAAGAAGAAGAAGAGAATTTCAAGTCAGGAAATATTAAGACTAAAATGCAGAACTGTGAGTGACTGTTTTGTCATGAAAAATACTAGTACCAAGACAATGTCACTCAAAACACAACAGTACACACATTCTTAATGAGAACTTCACTGGAACTAGGACTACTTTTGTTCAGGCTAAGTGTGTGTGTCATGTAAATGCTCTCTGCTTCATCATATATCAGCAATGTGGCATCAGAGCTTACAGTGTGTGGAGTATTCTAAGATTTTTGCATCAGTTAATCAAATTTTAATCAAGCTCATCATTTCAATGGTAAGTTTGGATCTTTTAATGGAGAGGTCTATCAGCATTATCAAACCTCTGGTTACAGTAAGTACTATAGTACTTAGTACTATATAATAATAAGCCCTTCAGTGTTTTTTGACAGTAACATGTGAGCCAACATTTATCTACCATGTTAATCTATCATAATGCAGTATTAACATGGTAATGAAAGTGCAGTGCTTCTCACACAAACCAGTGTGTAGTGTGTAGTGTGCAGTGTGTAGTGCATAGTGTGTAGTGTGTAGTGTGTAGTGTGTAGTGTGTAGTGTGTAGTGTGTAGTGTGTAGTGTGTAGAGCAGCTGCCTGGTGCTCTGTTTACATGTGGGCTCAGCTGGATCTCATGGAGCTGCCACAGTAAACACTGTTCTAGGTCCTGTCCAATGGATTTCACTCTCAACTTTCTTTTTGGAAAACTGTGTTATTGTTGCAGTGGAAATATTATGGATTCCACTTAAAATTTCAGTGTTATGGATTGTAATGTCATAAAATGCTAACATTATAATTTCTCGTATAATGTAAAAAGTCACTATTATTAGATTTTGACAAAGATGTTATAAAATGTGGGTGTTAGATCTTTTCCATTCAAATTAAATAATTTATAAGAACAGAGAAAATAGCTAGTACTGTATGAGAAATAGCAAGATCAAAGGACGATAACAGCATGGTTTACTAATTTGACTACATGTCTTTGTCATGTGTATGAACTGTCATGTGCCTATATCCTGTTTTTGTCTTGTCATCAAACTGCCAGTGGGACTAAGGATGAACCTGAACCTGCCTGGCTAACTCCGGCACATTTACATGCTGCACTAACACATGTTAATTAATGTGCACTGTCCAATATTTAATAAATAATCATAATCATGGTAACGAGAGTTACAGCCCTGTTTCCATATTATTTTCACATACTGGCTTCTGACTTCTTACTGGGTTAGGGTTAAGGCTGGATTTAGGGTTAATCGTATTAGTAGAAAATAACTGTAGCCCTAAGTGGAGTGACAGTTGTGCCATGTAATTACCATTTTAGTCACTGTGCTATTACGGCGCTATAGTATAAATCCACATTTAGACCAGTGAGACATGAAAAAGTTTTCAGTGGGTGAGATCAAACCTTAAACCTCTGGTTAGAGGGCAGATGCTCCACCACTGAGTCATTGGTCATAATTCCAGTTTGAATAATAAAAAATATTAAATATAACCAAAAACATTAAAAAAATAATTTGCCTCAAAATGTAATAACTGTAGTTTATTACATAATCCAGTTTTATTACACTTTGGATGATTAGCATTATCAGCAGTTCTCCTCCACTTTGTAGCACTTGGCTTGGCTACAAGGAAACTCACAGCCTCCATTTTTGTAATGATCTAACCTGGAATAGTGATGTTACAATCATCCTAAAGCTATTCAGGAAAGGTTATTTCTGTCCTGTGAATGTGACAATTTAAGAATCGATTCCTGCTCAAATGACTATCTAGTTTTGATATTGGTTTTAATATTGATTAGGGTGTATGATTATCAATATTAATGACAACCCTAACCTAGAATAGTACAGACATTGTAGTTTTATACATATAAATAAAAAGATAGCTGTATTAATGAAACTTGGTACCAGTGGCCTGTAGTTTTGTCTCCATTGTGCTTCACCAGGACTATATTTTGTATTTCTCATTTTGTGTTGTTGCACTGCACTGCAGCCATGACCACAATGAGTTTCTATGATCAAGGCATTCACTAATGAGCCACATCATCTTCACTGTACACCATCTAAAAAAATCACTCCGCCATTTCTCTGTGTGCCAATATTTAGGTACTCAGAAACACAAGATGAGAGCCGGAGATTAGATGCGAGGAATGCTAAAAAAGAGACGGAGAGAGGGGAGAGAGTGGGATCAGAGGAGATATCATTGAAAGAGTGTGAAAGAGAGACAGACGCAGACAGAGGCTACACTTAATGCACAGGGATCAAGTTCACCTGAATGGGGATGATGGAGTGGAACTTCAGTGCCCCCTTCTGGTGGAATTTGGAGAAGCAGCCGATGCAGTAGTCCTCAGAGCATTCAGCACATTTCTGTACAAAGACAAAGAAGGGCTCATGCATTTGTCTTACATCAAATCATTATAATGCTGTTACCTAAAAAAAACAGACCTGAAGTTTTGTTTTGTTTTGTTCATATGTTTGAATAATCCTTAATTATCAGTCTGTCTACATCTCCAAAAGCATAAAATGCTCTTTTCCAGCTTGTGATGTCAAGTAGTGGTAGTTTCCAAGATAAGATCAGCTACCTTTTACTTTTAGTTCAGTAGAGATTAGCAGTTCCAGGGCTGAAATTATCCATATGATCGTAGTGAAGGTATATAGAGTTTACAAACACAGTAAAGGACTTCCTGTATTACCACATGACATCACAAGGTGGAACAGAGTTTGTGAGAAGAACTCAGATTAAATAAGCAGGGTTTATGTGATAAACTTCAGTGAATTAAGGACGACAATTTTGATGAGGAAGCAAAATTATAACAGATCAGAAAATAGAGCAATAGAGGCTCTAAGTTATATACAATACAGACCTGAATATAAATAGTAGCTTCAATTTCTATATCTGTAAATACATGGTAAAAATCACGCACAAAATCACAAAAATGGTATGTGAAAGATGGGCAGGTGAAATGTCTTGCTCAATGACACAACAACTCTTTGCATTACCATTAGTAGGAATTGAACTTCCAACAGTTACTAAGTGATCTTTATCAGCTACCAACCCAATACATAATGTAACTAATAAATGTCAGTCATGATTACCTAATTTATTTATTTATTTTCTATTATAACAATTATTTTTGTTCTCATACACTGGTGAATGTGTGCTTTATCTGTGAGAATTCTGTAACATTCAAAATCTTGCATCAGAACTGAACAGGAAGTTGAAATAAGCCTAAAAGCCCAATGGGGCCAGAAAAAATATTGGTGATTTACATCATCACTACGAGACGAGATTATGCGAGTGAGTTTGTTTTGATGCACTGTGGGACCAAGTCTACAACATCTCACTGGACAACTGGCCTTGTCCCAGTAAACAAGCAGAGGAGGGCATTGATTTATCGAGCTCAGTGAAACTCAATAGGACCACTCTGAGGCAACCTGTTACGTCACAGGCCACAGAGCCGAGGTCTGCGAGCATAGCCAACAAATTAGTGCACAATTAGAACAACAATGAACATGTTTATAAAGTAATACTGGACAAATGGACACTATTATATTGTCTTTTTCTAGCCATAATGTGATCATCTTCCTTTAATATATTATCGCAATATTCACAGAGAGTGAAATGAAAGCAGGACAGCGCTTAGGGACCGATCTTTTGTTTGAGTGAATGCTTTAATAATAATAATGCCTTAGTCTTATTTAGCACTTTTCCAGACGCTGAAAGTAGCATTACAGTTTCACACACCACATTTATACTAGGCAATGTGGGTAAAGTTACTTCCTTTTCCTATCCATTTTGATGAACACTAAAAGGAATGTGAAAAGGAAACATCAGGGAAACTCACCAGAACACAAAAAGACAAAGCAGAACAGGAAAACCTAAAATCCGCCATATCAGACCACTGTAAAAGAAACAACCACATTATGGACGGACGGGGTTCGGGTCATTGGATCAGAAAACAACAAGTTCAAACGCTGGATCAGGGAGGCCATTGAAATTAAGAAACGAGGCATGGACAGCATTCACCGTGATGACGGAGCGTTTCTCCTTTCACACACCTGGGACACACTCCTCCAGAGGTCGCAGAGAACACCGGGCGACGGGAGGCGTGGTCAGTCAGAGCAACCTGCCAGGCCATCAGGCTGACAGCACCAGTGACAGTTCTGAAGATGGCTTGCAGCTAGCAGCCGAAACATGTCAACAAGGTAACTACACTTTACTGTATTGTCTTTAAAAAGAACCCAAAAAGTTAAAGTGCATAAGCAGACAAAATGAACATCTTTGACTTACAGTGATCAGGCTTTGTCTAGGAGGTTTGGTGGATGATTTTAAAAATATGTTGTCTATCCATCATAACTATTACCAGAACTTAAAAACTCTTTCAAAAGTCTTATAATCGTGCACAAAAACTATTATGTATACAGACAAATACTAGTAAACAGTCATCAACAATCATTATAAGTGAAAAGGTAGATTAAACTGTCTGGTCAAACCTCCAGCTAACTCACTCCACGCTCTCTCCTGTCTGCTGTGGTCCATATAAATCTCCATAAACTACCAATTAAACCACTACAGCTCAAATTACCACAAGCCTGCAGTTACCGTATCCCCATCTTCGAGTATAACCTTGGAATGCTTGTTGATGTCAAATCCTTCAACAAAATATTGGTGGATGTAATGGGAACAAAATAGGCCTTGGTGAATTGGTATTTTTATCCGTCTGAAAAATAACTTTCCAGGTGGATTTGTGAGCAGAGATGAAATCTGAGGGAACACAAAGCATAGTGAAATGATTCTGTTGCCAAATAGAGCTTTCATTATTGACATGCTACGTTAACTTCACATTGTGCAAAACAAGAAAACCAAAATATCTTCCTGTGAGGGGTACCTGGCAGTAAGTTTTGACACTTTTACAGGCTAGGGTACTGCTTAAAGTGCATATGTGACAGGTTAGACTACTCAGTTCTAAACATGCTTAAGATCATAATACCAAAAAGTGAAGTTTATAATTTTACTACAATTTCTTAATTGGACACAGGCAGCTGATATGACATACACGGAGGTGCGAAACTCTTCTGCTGGAGGGTCTTCTACCTACTTGTCTCCACTGAAATGCTATTGCTTTGCTGGGTATGTTCCATGGCATGACATTAAACAAAAAAAACAAGAAAAAAAACAAGAAAAAAAACATTAATTCCTTCAGTGAATAGGGGAGCCATAGATCTAAATTGTAATGTGGCGTAGTGCTGTAATCTCCTGGTCTCTCTTGTGATATGTATTTTTATCTATACTGTGGAACATTCTAGACCATTGTTTTCCCAAAGAGTCGCGCCTTTTGGGTCGCCTTGTCACGATCTGCATGAAGGTCTGCAATATACAGTTCTACAGACTATTTTGTTCCAATATTGCTGGTTCAATTGAATGTTGAAAAGAAAAAGAAATGGGCTACATTTAATGTCCAAATAGATGACTTATGGATCCTTTTATTGTTGGTTCAATTACTGTTTTTTCGTTATTTAAAACTTGAGTAATACTAATTATTCAGAGAGACACGATCACTCAGACAACAATAAAATATTCTCATAATGTTCAATAATGGTCAAATCCACCTTTATTTTGTGATTTACAAATAATATCTATAGACTTGGGTCGTGAAAGTTTGTGACTTTTAAAATATGGGTCCCCAGAAAAAAAGTAAAAGCATTTCCACGGAGATAAGCAGGTCTCCACTAGAAATGCTCACCAAATGCAGGGGTGAAAACTTGTCTTAATACTTCTAACACTCATTATTTTATTAATAAAAATACATGTCAATGCCTTTAATTGGTTAAAAGAATGATTAAACTGCCAGAAAAAAAAAAGTTCCTAGCACGTTGTAGATTGTCCCGGTATTTCAGAGGGATTACTGTGTTGATTACAGGTAGAGATGTTTGCTTTTAGAACTCTGCGCTACTTTTTGTATTTTTGCACCTTCCTTTTCAACCTTTCTAACACAGATTTAACTGATGTAAAACTATGATAACTTTTCACCAGAGGTACAATCCACCAAAGCAAGTACGAATTAGAAAAATATAAAAACCTATTATTTGAACTTTAAATAACATAACAAAGACACACACAATCAACAAATCTCAGTTAAGCAATCATACACACATTTGCGCAACACTCCAGTTACAATATGGCTTTCAATGACCCCATAAAACATCGCCTTATTTCCCCTTTAAGCCCAGAAGGATAAATTACACACGCTCCCAAGAGCCTAGGTATCTCAACCAGGCAGTAAATGGCATTTTGATGACTTACCAGCCCCTGTTCTTGCCTGAATGAGCCTGGAACACAGCATAAGGTAGAAATTGTGTCCACAGACAGTTGTAAGTGTGTGGCAGCATGACTCAGAGTGTGCTTAAGTTAAAGTCCGGGCGAAATGACCGAGACAACTGCAGTACTTGGCCTTAATGTCGCTGTTAAGGGTAGTAAGGGTTGGACCAAACGAGGGTGTGCGCGTGTGTGTGAGTGTGTGTGTGTGTGTGCTAAGTCAAACTACTACTATCAACCATTAGGGCATCGCCATGGGGGATGGGGTCATTATGCGTTTCATTCAACCATTTGGTGACAACAAGTTCTATTGCACCATTCAGCAAATTACCACATTCTGTTTAAGCGGTGTGTGCCTAAAATAACCAGAGCAAATAGTGTAACTCCTCCTCGGTCTTTATATTTGTCACTCTGGTAATAATGATACTGTCCTCTCATTTTCAGCCCTCCAGAGGTTTGCACATTCATAAAAGCTGCTTTGGAACTTTTGCTTTTAAGCTATTATAGAAATGGGCAAAATACACATTTGTTGTGGTTTCTGCCTCGAGAGTACCAATTTCACCGATCTTGTTTTTTTTTTTGTTTTTTTTAAAGCAACACTGAGTAACTTCCTGGATTTGGCACATCCACTGCATGCTTCCATGGAAAAAAGAAAATTAAAACCACCCCTTGGAACATTCTCCATGGACACTATCAAAAAGCCAGATGTTGGTTAAAAAAGAAGTAGTAAAATAGTATACTTTTGGCAGTTTTGTCACATTTGTGCAATATTTTAAAGGTCCTATATTACACAAAATTGACTCTTGTGAGCTTTAAGCCATGTCAAAATGTTGTAACCTCACCAAAAACATATCTGGAGTTGTGTTTTGTTTCATTCACATGTTTGAATCATGATCAGAAAACTGCACAATTTAACACATGTGTAAATGTCTTAGTTGAAGTTCTAGATCTTTTTTTTATAGCCTGAAGAATTGTATGTTTATAAGTTTATAAGTTCTTGGAATAATGACATATTTTATTTTCCAAATTGCTCCTTGGATTGAAATCCTTATGCTATTTCTGTTACCACTATCACATCACTGCAGTAACAACTACTACTTTTAAACAAAGAACATGGCACTTTTATATACAGCAAAATATTGTGTACAAATACTACTTCTGACAACTGATGAATCTTTTGCCCTGAACGACTGCCTCGGAATCTAAGTCTTAATGAATGAACAGACTCCCACACGAGTCCATTACACAGCAGTACAGTAAACGTGATCAGAGCCTAATGCACTGCGCCCGTCACGCTGTTCCCACATGAACAGGGGAGAGTGGAAATACACAGATAAACAGATTTCACTACGAGAGGTCCGAGTATTGACAAAGGGATTTGGCTTAAGTGTTGTTAATACAAACACAAACATCCAGACCACCAGGGGGAGTGGTCAGTGTGGTACAGGGAGAATAACATTAGTGAATTGTGTTGCGTTCAAACGACAGCACAACAATCCAAAATATCAATAGTTTAAAGGTCCTATATCGCACAAAATGGATTCTTGAGAGATTTAAGCTATGTTATATTGTTGTTATCTCTTCAAAAATATATCTGGAGTTGTGTTTTGTTTCATTCACACATTTGAGTAGCTCAAAATGCACTGTTCTACCTCAAGATGTCATCAGCTTCAAAAATGTATTGTCAATTCTTCATACCAAAAACATATAAAGAATCTAAATTGTGTTTCTCACTCCCATGCGCATAAACAAATAAGAAATGTAAATAGTGCAAAAGTGCAAAAGGTGATGTTGTGTGGTAGTTTTCAAGTTAACAGCTATCTTTTGCCTTTAGTTCAGTAGAGACTGATTATTCTAGGGCTGAAATGATCCAAATGATTCTAGTGAAGGTGTATGGAGTTTAAAAACACAGTGGAGTACTTCATGTATTACCACATGACATCAGGAGGAAGAGAGTGTTTTCTGTTTGAGAGAAGAACCGAATAATGCAGGGTTTGTGAGTTAAACATGTGTGAATAAACCAAAACACAACTCCAGGTGTGTCTTTGATGAGGAAATAACATTATAACATTGACCAGAAGATATTTTAATATGGGACCGTTAAAAAATGAGCTGAAGACAGGTCCGAATTCATCTGTCAATCACGTCCCTCTCAACTCAGGCAAATGCATCAGTGAGCAGACTTACAACAAGTATTGGAGAAGTGTGTATTCTGGATCCCAGGCAAGTAAGTTTAAGGAGCTAATCCCAAACAAATAATGATAAGGTTCAACATTTGAGGATCATAATTTTGGATATTTCTTCCAAAAACAGTGAGTCTTCCTTAGGATTTTGCCCTCCATCTGAAATTATGGCATCACCAAATTCAAGAAAGAGAACGCAGCCTATCCATGGGTTTGAAAGCAATTGCTATAAATTAAAACTAAATATTATATCTTTTGAATGGTGAAAAGTCCTCATGCATTTTCATAAAACAGGAGGCTAAAAACTCATGAGTAGCCCTTGCACTTAAATGGTGAGTGTACATACTACTCCAGCAGTCCTGACTTCACACTGTCCACACGTAATCCCCTTCAGCTTGCTTTTTCTCATCGCTTTGGGAGCCGCTGTGGCTGGAGACGGAGGTGGGGGCCGTGCTGCAACAGACACAAAAAAACCAAGATAAAAATACTTACTTTGAATGCAGTACAGTGATGGAAACTTTTTCACTTTTCACAATGTATCTCTGGGTTTCAGGGTGGTAAAAATAGGACTGCTGCAATAGCTGTTGACAATACTAGAATATTATCTTGTTTATTTTTTTTATTTTAATGTCAAAGGTTCTGAAAATGGCCGTCACAACAAATCAAAGCCACATGTTTATAACCTGTATATGAAAACTGTACTGGCAGTAACAATGTAACCCTCAATAAAGACCTAAAAAGAATTATAAAACACATTATTTTGACCATTAATTTTCTTGATTCATGAAGCACTTTTATAACACATGAACTAAAGTAACAGTTTCAGTTTCAGTGATGGTGGGTAGTTCTAATGCAATAGTCAGAAAAATCCTAACCTCATTAAAGCTTTACAAAAATCTACCAAATAAAAATAGTTACATAGCAGGTATCTACAAAATGACTATGTAGTATGAAGAAATATGGAAAAAATATTGAACTTAGCCATGACCCCACTGACCGGTCAGAGGTTCATCCTGCAGAACACGGATCTTCATTTTCCCAGCTGATAACTGTGTGAAAAAAGAAAAATCAGTCATTGGGCTCTGTGCACAACGGCAAACTCAGTGTTAGCATCACTACTTCCTGTCCATTTTAATTTCTATGGAGTTTTTGCGGAGTCCATAGAGATGTATAAAGGCCCATTCAAATCGGGGCGTCAAGGAGTCTAGTTTATATCCAAAGTCAACGTGGATGAGTGTCTAGGGCGTCCTGCATTTTTGCGGCGCGTCTTCGGGCGTCAACCAGTCAGGGGTGACTATCCAGTGACGTAGCGACCTTATTATCCGGAAGAAACAGACAGACCCGAGAACCAGGGCAGGGAGCGGAGGGGAGCCACAAACATTAGCGGAATATAAATATATATGACGCAATCACTAAGCCGATTGCCAGGACTACACCAGGACAGGACCAGGACTAGGCCAGGACTAGAACAAGACTGAACCAGGACTAACAGTTAAATGCATGCAGTATTGTTCATATGTTAATTTATGGTGTAATAGAATGTCCATAGCCTCATTGACGATCAATGCTCAAGTTAAACCTTCGTGGAATTTCATTTTAAATATTTCTTAAGAAAAAAATACATGGAAAACTTTATCTAAGTGTATAATTCTCAAACAGGCTGTAACACCTCTATTCAAACAGTGTGAGATACAGGACTACATACATACCATACTCCAAACAACTGTACAAACTGACCAACTTAATGTAACAGATAATACCCTACCTACAACTGTACAACTGTACAACAACTCACCCTTATGTCATAGATAATACTCCCTACAACTGTACAAACAACTCACCCTTATGTAACAGATAATACAACAACTCACCTGACAGATAATACTACAACTGTACAACAACTCACTCCTATGTGACAGATAATACTCCCCTACAACTGTGTACAACAACTGTACAACAACTCACCCTTATGTAACAGATAATACTCCCTACAACTGTACAACAACTCACTCCTATGTGACAGATAACCCTATGTCCTGTCAGTCACTATTTCATCTTTGCATTGTTTCTCCTTACGACCTCTTGCATATTATTCAGGTATTTTTATTACTTTTTATTACTTATTTGTACTTTATATTATTTTTACTTGTACATATACATTTATATAATTATGCCTTATTTGACACCAGTCTCTTGTTATTTTTGCTACTTATTTTGAATGTATTATTGCCATTTATATCTTTGCTCTTTTGCTCTTTATTATATTATATTGTGATGTTTGAGCCACTGCGTCAAAATAATTTCAGTTGTGGATCCATAAAGTTTTGTCCAAGTCTAAGTCTAAATATCATCACACAGAATCTAAGCCCAAGTAATTTACACTATTTACATTTGAACTCAACAGAAGTTTCAGAAAATGTCCTAATTCCTGCTGTTTGAACAACATTTAAACCCAAACACCTGTGATGAGGTCACGCTTAACAATGCGACACAGTAAGTTATAGCTGGCGCGCTGCTGTGCTCAGAGCCTATTGTCGCTCCACAGTCTATACATCAAATAACCCAAATACAGATACATAGATCAAAAGACCAGGTTGATACTGAACGCAAACTGACAATCGCAGTGGTTGCAGTTATTCTGGAAATGATAAAATGTTCCTTTCAGAGACAAATATCATGTTCCGTGTCTAAGCTGCTGCGGTTAATATTTTAGTGTTACTTTAAAACATGATTGCTCTTGGGCACGTTTAAAATGTGCACTACGAACTGAATCTTGATTTTAAAAAAGTATTACAAATGTAATCGCAACAGTTACCATAAAAATTGCAATTACCTTCTTTCCGAAATCGTTCCACCTCATCAGTAGCCCACAGTCATTTTCAGTCAGTTTCTCTAAGTATAGCCTTGAAATGTTTAATGTCAAATAATTCAACAAAATTTTAGAGGACAAAATAGTGAACAAAATAGGCCTCTGTGAATTGATATTTCCAACGCTGTGAAAAATAAATTTCCAGGTAAATTTGTGTGTTGAGCAGAGATGAAATCTGAGGGAACAAAGCATTGTGAAATGATTTTGTTGTCCAAATAGAGCTTTCATTATTGACATGCCACGTCAACTCCACAAAACAAGAACACCGAAATAGTTCTTTTGCTGTGTAAACGTGTCATGTATTGTAAGACAACTTTCAAAAGCTTGTGTTTCGTGTTTCGTCTGAACTGAATCAAAATAAACATGTCATATTGGAGAAGTACCTTTTGGAGCTTGTCATCCTTGGTTCTCTTGGGGTTTATCAACGTTGCAGCATTGTTTAAAGGCCTCGGCTGTCCAGACTTCCATCTATAACTGCTGGATTGCCTAAAAAAGAGAAACTGCTGTTATTTTCATTCATTTCAGCTGATGTCAACAACATTCCCTGGGGTGGTGAAGCTAACAAGAGGCACTGCTCTGTCTGAAGCTGTGTACTTTAAGTTAAACTTCAATCTGTACTGTGTTTTAACAAAACTGTGATGATGGACTTTTGTGCCACAAACCAGGACTGAAACGAGACTAAACTGTTTTCAGTCCTGGTCTGGTACGATTCTCAGTCCTGGTCTCAGTCCCGGTCTGGTCCCGGTCTGGTCCCGGTCAGGTCCCGGTCGGTTCCCGGTCTGGTCTCGGTCTGGTCCCGGTCTGGTCCCGGCCTCAGTCCTGGTCTCAGTCCCAGTCTGGTTCCGGTCTCAGTCCCAGTCTCAGTCCTGGTCTGGTTCCAGTTTCAGTCCCAGTCTGGTCCTGCTCTCAGTCCCAGTCTCAGTCCCGGTCTCAGTCTCGGTCTGGTCCCGGCCTCAGTCCTGGTCTCAGTCCCGGTCTGGTCCCAGCCTCAGTCCTGGTCTCAGTCCCAGTCTGGTTCCGGTCTCAGTCCCGGTCTCAGTCCCGGTCTGGTCCCAGTCTCAGTCCCAGTCTGGTCCTGGTCTCAGTCCCAGTCTCAGTCCCGGTCTAGTCCTGGTCTCAGTCCCGTTCTGGTCCTGGTCTCAGTCCCGGTCTCAGTCCCGGTCTCAGTCCCGGTCTGTCCTGGTCTCAGTGCCGGTCTGGTCCCAGTCTCAGTCCCGGTCTCAGTCCCTGTCTGGTCCTGGTCTGGTCCCGGCCTCAGTCCTGATCTCAGTCCCGGACCTGATTTAGTCCTGGTCCAGTCCGTATGCGGCGCAAAAATCCGGCATCGCAGTTTAAGTCACGGAAACGAGACACGGCCGTTATCCATCAAAATCGAAAACTGAAAAAACAAATCATTATCTGTTTTTTCATTTTGGTTTTGGAGTCAAATAATGAAGAAAACTGTTGTTTTTTCGTTTTCTTATTTTTGGTTTTATATTGAAAAATGAATTTCAAACGGATTCCACCTCATTCAATGTTTTGTTTAGTTTTTCTTACTACATTCTACATTTTGGATACATACACAAGACATCAGATATATGAAACAAGATAGTAAAGAAAAATGTGAAATAACTCTACTTAATATTTATCTATATAGCAAAAAAATGGTAATATGAGGCTTTGGTTATTTAACTTTTTCTACATAATTTCATACATCTTACTTCATATACTTGACATCTTCTGTATGTATATCAAATGTACAAAGTCGTAAACATAGAAAAAAAAAAAACATTGAATGAGAGGGTGAGTCCAAATATTCGACTGGTGGTGTACTTCTAACCAAAGTTTTCATGTTTTAATTATGACTTTGTTTGATGAGATAGTACATGTGGGTAATCAGTTTAGAGTCAGTTTATGTTGAGTTCTAGAACTGAACAGCTACACCTATGTCCTCACCTGAAATTTAATCCAAAATGCAGGAACACATTTTTCATTAATCAGTCACGATGTTGCCATTTATTTTCATTAGTTAAATGATAAATTTTGAGCAATTGAGACAGGTTTGCACCCTTGTTAACATAATGGTTGCTAGGTAACAGGTAGAGAAATTACCTCCACGTACGGTATGTCTAGGGAGACCAGACGTCCCTATTTACCCGGGACAGCCCCAGTTTTGAGCTCTGTGTCCCGTCCCAGCAGATTTATACAAAACCAATGATTTGTCCCAGTTTTATACAAGAAATGTCCCCGGTGTCTCTATTTTTGACCAATTTGATCCCTGCCAACAGTAAAGAGAGGAATAAACTGTCATTTGTTTCAAGAAAATACAGAAAAGCTGCTTAACAATGACCAAAACAGAACAGCGACTATCCTGACTCACATGTTCATCATGAATGGGCTGAGTGCAACAGTTTTCCTTAATTACGCTCTCGTTTCACTATTTTATTATTAACAACCAACCCAAACCAAGGACCCTTTTTAATATTGAAAAATGTTGAAATTTGGTCACCCTACGTATGTCCTATCTATTGCCAGTGTCCAACAGAAAGTAAAATTACAGTCATATGTGCTTTAATGTTGGAGAGCAACCGCAGCAATAGTCTAAGTATCAAAGTCTTTCTTCACTACAATTTCCTATAGAATCCTGCTTATGTAGCAACTGAGAAAACAAAAACCACACATTTGGAAACCCAGTGGGCAGTCAGGCTGAAAGATGCTGATTAGATTTATGCTTGGGTTCAGTTCATTGAGGCTCTCTTAGCATACAGTACATTGTTCTAACCTTAATGATCATTAGACCAGGACCAGTGTGCACAGTGAACCCATACACTTATTACTCAGTCTGATCATGCTGAAAATGTGTTTTAGGGGGAGATGGGAAGGGAAATGTATTATTGGTAAACTTTCTCTCATGCGTGTATCCTTTCTTACTGGACACATGGTTAGATCTTTTTTTGCTCTATCTTTCCCCTTCATGGGATCATAGGTTTCTGCAGTATACACTTTGAGGCTCATACTGACAGATAAAGACTACTGGTATATAGGTTCATAAGTAAAAAATAATGGCTTAAATGAAATAAAATAATTTCTAAAGCAGTGGTGCAAGAAATTAGCCAGGCTGGCGCCATCTAGTGCCTCCGCTCAATTTCATTTCTCTCCAGCGACTAGGTCAGAAATCAGAATATACTAAACGGTTTGCAAGAACCCCAGAAGTGTGAGTCCATACATGATGAAATCAGATGGACAGATAAAGAGTTGTATCTATCTGATTTCAGAGAGCGTGATTGACAGGTGGATTAACCAATCAAAGAGATGCACAAACATTGCAATATCGACTTAACGTTCAATCTATGAAAGTTGGAACAATATATTTTGGTGTTCAAAACGTACCATGTGTGCATTATCTTTGTTTAAGTGGGAAGATGTTGTTTTTTGTTGTTGTAATATGATAAGATTTCATTCTGCTATTTATTTGTTCTAGCTCTTGTCACTTAATTTACAGGGATGATCTTGCATTATCGTTATTGTATTGTGTTGTAAAGCAATTTCAGTATCATAGTTTATCTCTGTAGCAATATATCATGCTTCAAAATGTGTTATTGTGACAGTCTGAGTTGTTCCTCTAAATGAACAACTAAATTATTATTAAATAAAGACAGTGTACAGTAAACATTGTAGTATATGGAGAGAAATAAGTGACAGGGAATAAACTGCATCTTACTAATATGCACAGAAGCAGGCCAGGCACTCCTGTCAGTCACACAAAGTGAAGACGAGCAGAATCCTCCTCATTTAGACAGGACTTATTCATGCTCGTGTGCTTGAATTATTGATGCTATTTATGCTATTGTGATGTCTGGCTGTCTTTGAAAGAAATGTATTTTGGTTGGAGCTGGCAGCCTGTCAGACCCTGGCATGGTGTGTGCGCGCGATGCCAGAGTTGCCAGTGCTCCTGACACTGTTGCTGCACCGCACTGACACTGAGGGTGGGCGTCAGGTAATCTCCACGGCAACGTCACCCGGGCAACTGGACTGTCGCTACAGGAGACAGCCGAGGCACACCTCTGTCAGCGCAGGATGACAGGGCGGCCCCTCCGGACATGCCACCTGGAGGGAGAGAGACAGAGGGAAAGAGAGAGAGATAGAGAAAGAGAGAGAAGAAAGAAAGAGAGACAGGGATAACAATGAGGGAAAGTAAAGAGAAAAAGAAAGAGAGAGAGAGAGAAAGAAAAAAGGAAAGAATGACAGAAAGAAAGAGGAGAGAGAGAGAATGAGTGAAAGAAAGAGAAAGCAAGGGTGTTGGAGAGAGCTGGAGTGAGTTCAGGTCACCTAAACCTAAACACATAAACGCAAATATTTTTTATTTTTATAACTTTTTTTTGTGGTTAGGGGAGCAGAGGTGAGTTGGTTTATTCAAGTACCAATATAATCGGAATAATTTCAATTCAATCTATACTCAAAAAAACCTAAACCTATATTTTATTAGCCTGATTCATCAGCTGGTTTCACTTCGTGGAAACCATCTGACCGTGCAGCATTAGGATTCATTCACTCGACTGTAGGTGGGTACTTTTTTTATTTAACAATCGCTGCTGTTTGGTCTTGACATATGTAATGAGTCATATCCCGTAGGAAGAAGGGCAATAACATCTTTCCCCTTGATAAAATTCACCAGACATTCTCTTTGTTCCGGTTTTAAATCCTCGATCTTGGGAATCGTTGCCAACACAGAATGTATGGCTTTGTCTAAATCTGTCACGACCGCTTTATTTACTGTTGTGCTGCACCACAAAAAGGGACCCAGACAGGCACTTGCATTTGACGTCATGTCTTCACAGCTCTTCGCTGATTGGCCACTGTGCAGTCTACATCTTGCGGGGTTCTTGCAAACTGTCTAGTTTATTCCGATCCCTGACCTAGTCTCTGGAGAGAAATTGAGAGGACACACTAGGTGGTGCCAATCTGGCTAATATTTTATATAAATGGAAAAAAACTTTGGATTTCATTGGTAATTGTTATTTCCCATGTTGTTTTCAGTGTGCACTACATATCGCAAATCTAATCAGAGTTTCAATACTTGTCAGACAAACTGCAATTTGATTTTGTTTCCAAAATAGTGCAGCCCAATTCTGAAGTGATTTCACCTTACACCACTACCTTAAACTCAAGCAGAGTTTTCAAAAAAGCATTACCTCATACATTTGAAGTGCTCCTTCAGTTGGCAAAATATTTTGTTTTTGTCCAAGGAAAATGCCAGACAGCACGGAGATGACCAATAAGTGGTCTATTGGTAGGACCTTTATCTTAGATCAGTTAGTCCCACTGTTGGCCATTGGTAAATTCCACTGCCTTTCTGGATGAGAGGGCACATCCATCCCATAATAACCAGTGTGTCTTGAACATAATGAGCGTGCTCTCTCCAAAGGTCTCCCCAAGCACCACTTCTCAACCCAATTTGCCATATGGTGCCACCAGAGATAGTCCTTATGGATTTTTCCTGTTCTAAC